ACCTGAGGATGCTTTCATATAAATATGACCATTCATGGCTTTGCTGTTCTTGAGAAGATTGTTTAAGATTTTTTCCATGTATTCCTAAGTAAAATTTTGATCACTCATTATGGCCCCTCTCCACCCCCGGAGGTCATGGTTTGAACAAATTGAATTTACACTACCTGAGGATGCTTCCATATTAATATGACCAATCATGGCTATGCTGTTCTTAAGAGGAAGATTTTCCCTATATATTCCTATGTAAAACTCTGATCACTCATTGTGGCCCCATGCTACCCCTGGGGGGTCATGATCTGAACACATTTGAATCTAAACTACCTGAGGATGCTTCCACTTAAGTTTCATCTTTCTTGGCCCAGTGGTTCTTGAGAAGAAGATTTTAAAAGATGCCATTAATTTTTCACTAATTCGTAATTATCTCCCCTTGGAAGAAGGCATGACCCTTCATTTGAACAAATTTAAATCCCATTCACCCAAGAATACTTTGTGGCAAGTCTGGTTGAAATTGGCCCAGTGGTTCTGGAGAAGAAGATGAAATTGTAAAACGTTTACGACGACAACGACAGACAACGGACAAATTTTGATCAGAAAAGCACTTGAGCCTTCCGCTCAGGTGAGCTAAAAAGAGGCCCAAGAGCCTTAAAGGTCACCTGAGTTTAATACAACACAGTAAAGGATCCATAGAAGTATAAAACAAACTGATAGATGAAGCTATGTTGCCCAAGAATTTCAAAAATCTGGTGAAAATACACTTGCTTATTGTAACATGAGAGACCCGAGCGATCTCCTTGGGATCGTACTTGGTTTGTCCAAATCTTACATGGATGATAATGAATGCAAAATATACAAATACAATGAACACTTGCCTAATGTGTAAGGTATTTAATATATACAGATATTTTTGTCACTTGCCTATAGTGCTACAATTACAGCACCTGTAAAGAGAAATCTCTAATGCCTGTATATTTACTTGAAGTGATGCCTCTTAGAACAAACAACTTAAGTGCCAATCTAATTAAAATTAGACTTGTATTTTCGCTCCTCTACGATACGCTTGTATTGAAGCGTATCGTAGAGGAGCGAAAATACAAGTCTAATTTTAATTAGATTGCTTAAGTGCTTGCCATTTGGTAACACTTGGTACCAACACTTGCCTGTTGGCTTTACAAACAGCTTGGTAATACCTGTTACCAGCACTATAGACACTTGGCTAAACATTTGGTTGCTTGCCACTTGTCAAAAACTACAACATGTCCCAGGCTATTCTCCCTGCCTCTCTGTGATCACTTGCATGGTCACTATAATAAAGCATACAACATCTTTATGCGGTCTTTTGATTTCACCCGAGAACAACTCAACAATTGTTATACAGGACACCACAGAATACTACTTAGAACAAATTGCTATTTTGCTACATCAATAATCTTTATGTCAATCTTTATACTGTTTACAAGCAAGAATCCGCCTTTGAGCATGCTTTGCTCATTTAAACCAAACATTCATTTTTATTTTGTTTCTATATATATAACATTCTTTCTTCTATTTTCAATCAATAAATAACCTGTTAATTAAATTTTATACTAAGATTTCTTAATTAACACAATTTAGCAAAGGGGAGTAACTCTCATTTGCTTCACTTAATACAATTTTGCACTCTGTTTGCCTCCAAGATACCCAGGAGCAGAGAAGACACATTTATTTATAATTATACATTTACATTTATATTATTGCATTTAGTTTGTTTGCTTAATACTCACGGGCAGAGGAGAAGATTTTTCAAAGCAATAATACACTTTCACTATTTAAAATCATTAGAGTCCCACCCAAACACCAGAACCGTGATCCAGGGGGCCATAAAATTCACAATTTTGGATAGGCACCCTTGCTCATCATAACTATGCATTTGGTTCATTGTCTTAATACCCAGGAGCAGAGGAGGAGATTTTCAAAGAATAAATGCATTTTCACTATATCATCATTAGAGCCCCGCCCCAACACCAGAACCCCTGACCCAGGGGCCATAAAATTAACAATTTTGGAAGAGGCACACTTACTCATCATAACTATGCATTTGGTTCATCGTCTTAATAACCAGAAGCAGAGAAGAATTTCAAAGAATTAAAATTAAATGCATTTTCACTATATATTCATTAGAGCCCCACCTTAACATCAAAACCCCTGACCCAAAGCCCATGAAATTCAATATTTTGAAGAGGCACCCTTGTTAATCATAACTATGCATCAAACTTGTTTGCTGAATACCCAGGAACTGAGAAGATTTTTAAAGAAATAATGCATTTTCATTATATATTCAATACAGCCCCAACCCTAATTAAACACCAGAACCCCTGACCCTGGGACCATGAATTTCATAATTTTGGCAGAGAGCTCAATGCTTACATGTATTACAATCATGCTAATAGTTTGACTGCTTTATGTCCAGTAGTAAAGAAGATTTTTGAAAATTGCATTAATTTTGACGGTTTTAGCTCCACCCCTCAGGGGGGGGGCAGAGATCATGAAATTTCACAATTTTTGTTACCAGTAGATGCTATATGCCAAAATTGGTTGAAATTGGTTCAGCCCTTTCATAGAAAAAGTTGAAAAATGTACAAATGTTAACATAGGCTGCACGAAGACGGATGAAAAAGAGATAGCAATACGATAAATATGAAATATACCCCCCCCCCCCCAAACTTCCTTGCGGAGGGTATAATGATATAGCAAGTATACAAGCAGGCAGTTGCCACACTGGTTCCTTAACTGACATGCCCCTCAAGTAAGCAAAACTGGTAAACTTTCATTTCAATAAATTGAAGGGGTCATCCTAGGCCTGCCCCCATTTTGTTCCATCTTGTTGTATCCAAATTAATGTTACACTTATAGGTACTAGCTTTTAGTTCAAACTGTTGACAAGATGGGTGTACTGTTATTAAAATCTCGAAAGGTTTATACTACAATTTGTACAAGGATTAATCATCCTCAAAAGTTTTCCAAAACCTTATAGTACATTTATTAACGACCCACAATTCAAGATACTTAAAAAAAAGAACTATGGTGCTTCCCAACCACTTTCAAGTCACAATCACAGAAAGAAAAGCAGAAAATTTTCATTAAAGTGTAAATTTTTTTTTAACTATTTCGGAATTGCAAGAAGCACTTCTTCCCAGAGCAGAGCACATACTCATTGATCTCCAACAACCAGTTTCCATTCTGTTTATCAAGATTAAGCCATCTATAAATAAAGCCATCTATAAATAAAAGTATGCCAAGTTGAAACATAGGTAATCAAAGATTACGAAGCTCACCTCAACGAATAATATCTATAAGTAAGACAAATTTCACACAATATTTTTTTTCTAGTTAGGGTTCATCCCAAGATCAATATCCATGCGAGTTTGGTTTAAGTAGGACTTATTGTTACTTGTAAATAGACCTGCTCAAAGAACTTTTAACCTGCATGTTTAGTAATCAAGAAAATTTTGGTCAGTTTCAACATTCAAAGCAAGTGTGGAAGTTTTCATCCTTAGATGCGCGCACCATCTATGCAAGTTTAATCATAATAGGCCATATTATATAGCTACTCCAAAAAAATTACGTTGGTCACTCATCTGGACAATGAAGGTCAGATTCAGAATTCAAAGCAAGTCTGGTAGTGTCCATCCCTAGATACATCATCCATGCTAATTTGGTTAAAATATGGCTAAAATTCACTCATGTAGTTAATCTAGGTCAGATCCAGCATCCAAAGCAGGTTGCTTAGTGTACATCCCTAGATGTTTCATCCATGAAAGTTTGGTCCAGGTAGGGCTTATAGTTACTTGGGAACGGGACTGCTCCAAATCTAGGTCAGGTCCAGCATACGAAGCAAGTGTGGTAGTGTCCATCCCTAGATGCATCATGCATGCAAATTTGGTCAAGGAAGGGCTTAGTTACTTGGAAATGGACCTGCTCCTAAAACTTTAACCTGGCCACTCATCTGGAAAATCTAGGTCAGATCCAGCATATAAAGCAAGTGTGGTAGTGTCCATCCCTAGATGCATCATCCATGCAAGTTTGGTCCTGGTAGGACTTATAGTTACTTGGGAATGGGACTTGCTCCTAAAACTTTAACCGGGACGCCGACGCAAACGCCGATGCCAGGGGTATAGCACAAACTCATCTCGACTTCATTGAGGTGAGCTAAACACAGAATTTCCTTAAGCCAGTTTAAAAGGAAAACATGGACATGTTTTTTCATTAGTTGGTTCATGTTGTTTGTAAACTCTGGTCATATGTCTCCTCTGCCTTCAACAGATCATAACAAGAGGCCCAGGGGCCACATCGCTCACCTGAGCACTATGGCTAGGAAAAAGCAGAAATCAGTTCAGTCTTGAAAGGTTGCAAAGTTTAAATAAAAAAGTGGTTCGGGGGGGGGGGGGGGGGGTCATGGGGGTCATGAATTGAACAAATTTGAATCTACATTATCTGAGGATGCTTCCATTTAAATATGACCAATCATGGCTTTGCTGTTCTTGAGTAGAAGATTTTTAGAGATTTAACCTATGTATTCCTATGTAAAACTTAGATCGCCCATTGTGGCCCCACCCGACCCCTGGGGGTCATGATTTGAACAAACTTGAATCTACACTATCTGAGGATGCTACCACATAAGTTTCATATTTTCAAGCACAGTGGTTCTTGAGAAGAAGATTTTTTAATAATGCCATTAATTTTTCACTAATTCTTAATTATCTCCCCTTGGAAAAAGGCGTGGCCCTTCATTTGAACAAACTTGAATCCCCTTTACCCAAGGATACTTTGTGGCAAGTTTGGTTGAAATTGGCCCAGTGGTTCTTGAGAAGAAGATGAAAATGTGAAAAGTTTACAACAACAACAACGACGATGACGACACACAACGGACAAATTTTGATCAGAAAAGCTCACTTGAGCCTTTGGCTCAGGTGAGCTAAAAATCTAGATACTAGAAAAAAACATATCAGACACAAAACTCAGTCTATTCATCACTGCTGTAAACAATTTTTATTTGTCATGCAAAATGTTTACAAAATTAAATACATTGTATATGAAATTTGTACATTATGCATAAATACACATATTACATTTATCTACAAGTTCAGTTCATAACCCTCTTATTCCCAACAAAAGTCTATGCATAATAATGTCAATGTGCAGTTACAAAACAGTTTTTTAAGTCTTTCCTTGGTAACACTAGAACATTTTCACAGATTCAACAGAGATGAAAATGAAGCCCTCATTTGACGCGATACAACATTTTCCTTTGCATTCTGTGCTGAATCTCCCCTCTTCTCAACATGAAATGCAACACTTTCTGAATGGATCTTTCTGGATATTTCTGGAAGGATACAATAATAAATGTACAGTACATGTATTTAGGAAGAGTGATTTAACTATACTTTGATGCTGTATGGTAACAGAATTGTTATTTTCATGTCTTGTCAAGTCTTGTATATTTAGCATAATTCAACACTTGTGAACGTTTGCTCGACTTGGGAAGTCCTGTATGATTGCATGTTCAGACACATGAGAAGGCTTACCTCCCTTGTGAAGTCCTGTATGATTGTGTGTGTTCAGCCACTTGAGAATGTTTACCTGTCTCATGAAGTCCTGTATGATTACATGTTCAGACCTTGAGAGTATTTTCCTGTCTTGTGAAGTACTGTATGATTGTACATGTGTGTTCAGACACTTGAGAATGTTTGCTTTGTGAAGTTCTGTATGATTGCGTGTTCAGAAACTTAAGAATGTTTACTTGTCTTGTGAAGTCCTGTAAGATTGCATGTTCAGACCTTGAGAATATTTACCTGTCTTGTGAAGTCCTGTATGATTGCATGTTCCGACACTTGAGAACCTATGATGAATCGTCTCTTGATCTGTTTCTCTATTCGTGACAAAAGCTCTTGGTCTTCTTCAGTTGTAAATCCTTCTACACCTGTAATAAATTCTATGTTCAGATCATCTCATATAAATGTAGCAGGTTAGTTCGTTAAATTCTTTCACACACAGAAGAATTTACTTAAAAAGTTTTTCCTTCTGTTATCTAAAGTAATCTCTTAATTTACTAATAATGATTATAAGACAATGTCTTTGATCCTGAATAACCCTCTAGAAAAAATTCCAATATCACTATCACAGCAACTCATTAATTGTGCATAAAGAATGAATGTTTAAGCTAACCAGAAAGATTTCCTGACATTGCAGCATCTAATGTGGACACCTGGAACAGTCTCAATGCTTCATCCACCTCCCTCTCCGAGGCAAAAGGCTTCAACTTCATCTTTGCCAACGATTCAGACATCCTGATAATGGCTTCCAATTGCCTGCAACAGTAAATACAGTGTATTATCTATAAGATCCACAGTTTAGGAGAGTAGTTCAATCAAGTCCCCATCTTTTCATTTTACTTCTGTAGGAATTCATTTGTCAAATTCACAACTTACCTGACCGTAATAGGAATAGTGATCTTCTTGCCAGTTTCCCTTTCATATTCTCCAGCACCATTCCTCATCAAAACATACCTGTTCTTTAACTTCTCAGCTGCTTCCGGTGACAGACGAGGGCCACATTTCCTACAAGAAGCAACATCCTCATACAAAACGTAGGCTAAATATATAAGCTGAAAGAAATTTATGAATGATTCTGGAGAAACTTACGTTCTACAGTACTGAATATACTTCTTCAGAGTGTTAAGGTCAATCTCTCCTTCTGATTGTTCTTCTGTCATTTGAAGAGCATTTAAGTGCACATTCATTACATGCTTTGCTAGAGTCTGTAAAAAATACAAGAACTTACAATCCAGCAGATAAGAGTACCACATATAACCGTATTTTTTATTTACCGTAAATCACTATTTACACACGAGAACTTTATTTTTGCACAATTATGCGAGACAGCGTGCTCGCGAAAATTTCACTCTCGTGTGTATTAGCCATAAGATTATATAAAGCAATAATAACAATTCGTGAAAATTTTGTCTCACTAATAAAGAGTCAATGACTATCTTGCAAAAATAGGGTGTTGCGAAAATTAAGTGATCTACAGTATGAGAAATAATCTGTTTTAGTATGAAACAAGAAGTCTGTGAGCAAATGCTCACTAGTAATACCCCCACTCTGATGTGAATATACACTCATGTTGACATCAAATTCATACACAAATGAATCCAACCATATGGCATACCTAAACAAAGATTGTGCTAAAATTTCAAGCATCTGCACTGAGCAGTTACTGAGAAAACTGTGAAGAAAATTTGTTATGGACAGACGCACTGATAAACAGGAAGTTGACATAGGATTCAAACAAAAATTAGTCCCACCATATGGCATGCCTAAACAAAGATTGTGCTAAAATTTCAAGCATCTGCAATAAGTAGTTGCTGAGAAAACTGCAATGAAAATTTGTTACGGACAGACACACATACATGGGTAAAACAGTATACCCCCCTTTCCTTTGGAGTGGGGATATAAAACAAGAGGCCCATGGGCCACAACGCTCCCCTGAGTAACTTTGGTCTTGCTGTTTTTCACCTATTTCTCCCCCCCCCAGTACTTATTGTGGCCCCGCCCTACCCCTTGGGGTCATGATTTGAACAATTTAGAATCTACATTACCCCAGAATGCTTCCACATAAGTTTCAGCTTTTCTGGCCCAGTGGTTCATGAGAAGAAGATTTTTAAAGATTTTTACTATATATTTCAATGTAAAACTTGGATCTCCTATTGTGGCCCCACCCTACCCCTGGGGGTCATGATTGAACAATTTAGAATCTACATTATCCTAGAATGCTTCCACATAAGTTTCAGTTTCTCTGGCCCAGTGGTTCTTGAGGAGATTTTTAAAGATTTTTACTATATGTTTCAATGTAAAACTTGGATTCCCTATTGTGGCCCCGCCCTACCCCCAGGGATCATGATTTGAAAAATATAGAATCTACACTACCCAAGGATGCTTCCACATAAGTTTCAGCTTTTCTGGCCAAGTGGTTCATGAGAAGATTTTTAAAGATTTTTACTATATATTTCAATGTAAAACTTGGATTTCCTATTGTGGACCCGCCTACCCCCGGGGGTCATGATTTGAACAATTTAGTATCTACATTACCCCAGGATGCTTCCACATAAGTTTCAGCCTTTCTGGCCCAGTGGTTCTTGAGAAGAAGATTTTTTAATGCACCCACCCAATTTTTGTATTATCTTGATTATCTCCCCTTTGATGGGGACATGGCCCTTCATTTTTACAATTTAAACTCACCTTCACCCAAGGATGCTTTGTACCAAGTTTGGTTAAAATTGGCCCAGTGGTTCTTGAGAAGAAGTCAAACATAGGTAATCAAAGATTACGAAGCTCACCTCGACGAAGGTTATCTATAAGTAAGGCAAATCTCACATCATATTTTTTCTAGTTAGTGTACATCCCAAGATCAATATCTATACAAGTTTGGTTTAAGAAGGACTTATAATTACTTGGAAATAGACCTGCTCAAAAAACTTTAACCTGGTCACTCATCTGGAAAATCTAGGTCAGATTCAGCATCCGAAGCAAGTGTGTAGTGTTCATCCCTAGATGCATCATCCATGCAAGTTTGGTCCAGGTAGGGCGTATAGTTACTTGGGAATGGACCTGCTCCAAAAACTTTAACCTGGTCACTCATCTGGAAAATCTAGGTCAGATCCAGCATCCGAAGCAAGTGTGGTAGTGTCCATCCCTATATGCATCATCCATGCAAGTTTGGTTCAGGTAGGGCCTATAGTTACTTGGGAAAGGATCTGCTCCAAAAACTTTAACCTGGTCACTCATCTGGAAAATCTAGGTCAGATTCAGCATCCGAAGCAAGTGTGGTAGTGTCCATCCCTAGATGCATCATCCATGCAAGTTTGGTTCAGGTAGGGCCTATAGTTACTTGGGAAAGGATCTGCTCCAAAAACTTTAACCTGGTCACTCATCTGGAAAATCTAGGTTAGATTCAGCATCTGAAGCAAGTGTGGTAGTGTCCATCCCTAGATGCATCATGCATGCAAGTTTGGTCCAGGTAGGGCTAATAGTTACTTGGGAATGGACCTGCTCCAAAAACTTTAACCTGGTCACTCATCTGGAAAAATCTAGGTCAGATCCAGCATCCGAAGCAAGTGTGGTAGTGTCCATCCCTATATGCATCATCCATGCAAGTTTGGTTCAGGTAGGGCCTATAGTTACTTGGGAATGGATCTGCTCCAAAAACTTTAACCTGGTCACTCATCTGGAAAATCTAGGTCAGATTCAGCATCCGAAGCAAGTGTGGTAGTGTCCATCCCTAGATGCATCATCCATGCAAATTTGGTTCAGGTAGGGCCTATAGTTACTTGGGAATGGACCTGCTCCAAAAACTTTAACCTGGTCACTCATCTGGAAAATCTAGATTAGATTCAGCATCCGAAGCAAGTGTGGTAGTGTCCATCCCTAGATGCATCATCCATGCAAGTTTGGTCCAGGTAGGGCTTATAGTTACTTGGGAATGGATCTGCTCCAAAAACTTTAACCTGGTCACTCATCTGGAAAATCTAGGTCAGATCCAGCATCCGAAGCAAGTGTGTAGTGTTCATCCCTAGATGCATCATCCATGCAAGTTTGGTCCAGGTAGGGCGTATAGTTACTTGGGAATGGACCTGCTCCAAAAACTTTAACCTGGTCACTCATCTGGAAAATCTAGGTCAGATCCAGCATCCGAAGCAAGTGTGGTAGTGTCCATCCCTAGATGCATCATCCATGCAAGTTTGGTCCAGGTAGGGCTTATAGTTACTTGGGAATGGATCTGCTCCAAAAACTTTAACCTGGTCACTCATCTGGAAAATCTAGGTCAGATTCAGCATCCGAAGCAAGTGTGTAGTGTTCATCCCTAGATGCATCATCCATGCAAGTTTGGTCCAGGTAGGGCGTATAGTTACTTGGGAATGGACCTGCTCCAAAAACTTTAACCTGGTCACTCATCTGGAAAATCTAGGTCAGATCCAGCATCCGAAGCAAGTGTGGTAGTGTCCATCCCTAGATGCATCATCCATGCAAGTTTGGTCCAGGTAGGGCTTATAGTTACTTGGGAATGGATCTGCTCCAAAAACTTTAACCTGGTCACTCATCTGGAAAATCTAGGTCAGATCCAGCATCCGAAGCAAGTGTGGTAGTGTCCATCCCTAGATGCATCATCCATACAAGTTTGGTTCAGGTGGGGCGTATAGTTCCTTGGGAATGGACCTGCTCCAAAAACTTTAACCTGGTCACTCATCTGGAAAATCTAGGTCAGATCCAGCATCCGAAGCAAGTGTGGCAGTGTCCATTCTAGATGCATCATCCATGCAAGTTTGGTCCAGGTAGGGCTTATAGTAACTTGGGAATGGGACTTGCTCCTAAAACTTTAACCGGGACGCCGACGCCAACGCCGGGGGTATAGCATAAGCTCATCTCGACTTCGTCGAGGTGAGCTAAAAATGTGAAAAGTTTACAGACGGACGGACATCGGGTGATCAGAAAAGCTCACTTGAGCTTTCAGCTCAGGTGAGCTAAAAAGGCAAACATGCACTTACCACATCTCGGGATTCATTGTGCTCATCCTTAACAATAAATATCATGTCAAATCTAGACAGAATGGTCGGCATGAAATCTATATTCTCTTCTCCCTTGGTCTCATCCCAGCGACCATACACGCTGTTTGCTGCAGCTAGAACTGAACACCGAGAGTTCAAGGTTGTAGTGATTCCAGCCTAAAAAACAAAATTTTAACATTAATATTAGAACTTACATAGTATAAATTCTATGTCAAAATACCTCTAAATGAGGAAACTTTCTTTATTTGGAAGCAAAATTTCATCTTTTATGAGAGGCTACAAGAAATTCTGTATGATGCTGCAAATATTACATTGACTTAAATTTTTTTTTTTCCATTTTATTATCAATTCTTTGTACACACTAAATAAATAAAGCTTTCTTGCTTTTGCAATTGATATGGTCTGCTGTTCCATAGCTTCATGAATGGCTACTCTGTCATCCTCTCTCATTTTGTCAAACTCGTCAATACAAACCACTCCACCATCAGCTAGCACCATAGCTCCTCCCTCCATAACAAAGTTCCTCTGTAAATCACCATAATTATTTATTACATTAACTACAGCAAAAAACACAAAGCTGCTGAAAAACTTGAAACAAGTTAAAGTTTAAATGCACTTTATCTAAAAATCATTTGTTCTACAAATTCTTGAAAAACCAATGCTTATAGTGAACTTATACATTATGAAATCATATCAGGTACGCTAAGTTTAAGGATTTTACTGTTTGTGGATCCCTCATAACTGATGCTGTCAAACCAGCTGCACTGCTCCCTTTTCCAGATGTGTACACACCAATAGGAGAACATCTCTCCACAAACTTCAGAAGCTGGGATTTGGCTGTACCTGGATCTCCCAACATCAATATATTAACATCACCTCTCCTCATCAATCCATCTGGCATTCTAAAATAGATGGAATGATTCTGCAGGGTTTTTTTTCAGAAATAAAAATAATGTAAATGTTTTATATTCAGCATGCACAATATTTGGTGGAAACTGATTTTTGAACAAGTTAGTGAAGATTTGATTTAGCGCATTTCCTTATGTTCTTATTTATATCTACATGTGCAAGACATTTATCATTGTACTTGAATTAGCGGAAGTTGATCTCTGCAAAAAGCGCTATAAAGAATACACAGCTAAATGTAATACTTTTACAGTAATTATGGCAGGGTAAACAGACAGAATGACTATAAATACAGTGACACAAATTCTCAGTGACACATGTAATGTTTACCTCTTTCTTGATCCTCCAAACAAAAGGCAAGAGATAGCCTTTTTAATATCCAAACTTCCATAGATAGAGGGTGCAATACTTCTGGCTATGGTTTCATATATGTTTGGGTCATTAGCCATTCTTCTGAACTCTTCCTCATCTCCAGGTGTGATGGGGGCAGCCCCTCCTCTTCCTGATCCATCATTGTCCACTTTTATACCCAGGACCCTGAAGTAGGGGTTTCTTATTCCCACATTTACTTTGTCTCGTCCACCTCCTTTCTACAAAGAGTACATTGCATGCTTTTCACTAGAATCTGATTCATCATACTTAAATTCTTATTTCATTTTACACTGTATAAACAAACACTTACTGTTGGTTTGCCGGTCTTTTTGATGGAGTAAATTCCTACTACAGTTACTCTGTTACCAGGCACAACTTTATCACACATGTACCTGAAAAACAAAGTTTGTTGATACTGTAAAAAACACACTAATAATGAAGGACCAGGGGAAAAAATTAAATCTAACTTGGTATATCTGACAAGTTTATAATACATGCAAGTTTGAAAACAATGGGGAATGAAAATCACATCCCTGTAAGCATGAATTCATTATAAATGTGTTTGCTGTAATTGTGATTAACTGTATATGGACAAGGAGAAATGAACAACTTTCCTTCCAACTGGGTATCTAGGAAAACTTTCAACAGATCGTGACAACAATGTTATGCCTGTCCTCACCTGTCACAATAGAGCTGCATGTGTCTTGGCAGTTCTCCATTAGGCACAGCCTCAGGGGCTTCCTGGAGTTTAAGGACCTGGAAATCCACACATTTACATTTATCTGGCACAATGTAAAATGGGTCAACTGGACACTTGGGTCTTCCTGCCTGTTCACTTGAAAAATGTAACATGGTCATTACATTAAAAAAGAGAAGAGAATAAATCATGTGGAATTCAGCTGACAAAGACTACTGATCATTTTCTGGATATCTTTTAGTGCATTCTGTACTTACGTGTTGCATTTCCTTGGCAAAGCATACCCTTCCAGACCAGGATTCACAGGAATGTTATTCAGTGTATTTTTACAGCTTCTGCACTGGATAGTCAGTTTGGTTGCTTTTGCCTTGATGGCTGATGCTGCTATAATAATACCAGGAATTTTCACCAACCTGGCCATTTGTTCTGACTGTAAAACACAATGTTAGCTTTCATTGTGCTTTAAATGAACAAAAGTGGGTATCACAGAAATGGATACAATAAGAAATTACTGATGGTATCCTAACCTTGAGATCTCGTAGTCCACAGGGATTGGCACTGGACAACAACATGACTTGTATGTCATGGACATCCTCTTCACCTTCAGGGCGAGGGCGAGTCACTTCATCAGCGACTTCTTTTGCAGCATCTTCAAACTTTAAAGAAATAAAGCATGAAAAATAATTGTGGTGTACACGCAATAGCAATGAAAAACTTGTATGTATATAAAGACAATTAAAACAAAACTGCGGGTTTACAGTTAACATATCTCCTAAACTTTTGGTGAGTGAAGTTTAAACAAATGTAACTCACGTGGCTATTAAATATTACACTGTATATATGCCAAACTCTGTCCTGTTCATCTTATTATTTTTTTTCCATTTCAGTATATATTTCAGGGGATATGTTACTCATATGCTTCATAAAACACTCATAATTATCTCCTAAATAGTCCTTGAATCATGTGCTGAGAACAGGTTCTTTAAAATGTCAGCAAAATAATGCTATAGTGAAGCCTCATTATCTGGATGCTTTGGTTCCCAGTCAGAAATGTGCGACAAAATTTTGGCCAAAAAATGTTTACTTAGTCAATTGCCAATTTTGCATTAATTGCTATGCAAAATTATTAATTTACGAAGTAATCATTTCTGGCCAAAATTTAGTTGTATTCATCATCAGTGTGACTGTATCATGAAATTTGGTACTCTGACACCATCATGTTGCACAGTTCGTCCATTTGTCCACAAAATGCAAGTAATGCAAAAGGTAGGTTAAAATAGCTACTTCAGATAGGTTTATATACCTAGGTAGCTATTAATAGCTATGTAGGTAGAAATAGTCTTTGGAGTGGACCTGGTAAAACCACAGTGTGGTGCTCAACCTTGTAACTGCTACTTGCAATCCTGAATTTATTTTTAACAGGTCCAGCACAATACCCTGATAAAGGTATATAGCTTGATAAAGCTATGTAGCTTTATCAAGGTATTACAAATACCTTGATCAAGGTATTTTATGTAATGACGAGGCCCAAGAGCCTTAACGGTCACCTGAGTATAAAACAACAATCCATAGATCCATAGAGTGTAAAATAAACTGATAGAAGAAGCTTTTGTAAATCTTTGATTTTCCCTTGTGGCCCCACCCTATCCCAAGAGTCCAGAGTCATATGATTTGAACAAACTTGAATCTATACTAGCTAAGGATGTTTCCACGTAAATATAACCAATCATGGATTTGCTGTTCTTGAGAAAAGAATTTTTCAATTTTTAATGACTTTTTCTATGTACTTCTATGTAAAATTTTGATTATATTAAAATGACTAATCATGGCTTTGCAGTTCTTCAGAAGAAGAAATTTTCCTATATATTCCTATGTAAGACTTTGATTCCCCATTGTGGCCCCACCAACTTGAATCTACAATACCTGAGGATGCATCCATATAAATACGACTCATCACAACTTTGCTGTTTTTGAGAAGAAGATTTTTAAAGATTTTTCCTATATATTTTTATGTAAACTTTGATCATCCATTGTGGCCCCGCCCTACCCCTGGGGTCATGATTTGAACAAACTTGAATCTACACTACCTGAGAATGCTTCCATATAAATATGACTCATCATGGCTTTGCTGTTCTTGAGAAGATTTAATTTAAAAGATTTTCCTATATATTTCTTTGTAAACTTTGATCATCCATTGTGGCCCCATCCTACCCTCGGGGGTCATGATTTGAACAAAATCGAATCAACACTACCTGAAGATGCTTCCACATAAATATGAGCAATCAGGGCTTAGCTGTTCTTGAGAAGAAGATTTTTAAAGATTTTTCCTATATATTTCTATGTAAAACTTTGATCCTCCATTGTGGCCCCACCCTACCCCCAGGGGTTATGATTTGAACAAACTTGAGTCTACACTACTTGAGGATGTTTCCATACAAATTTCATCTTACCTGGTCCAGTGGTTTTTGAGAAGAAGATTTTTAAAAGATACCATTAATTTTTCAAGAATTCTTATTTATCACCCCTTGGAAGAAGGCATGGCCCTTCATTTCAACAAACTTGAATCATCTTTACCCAAGGATAGTTTGTGGCAAGTTTGGTGAAAATTGGCCCAGTGGTTCTAGAGAAGAAGTCGAAAATGTGAAAAGTTTACGCCCGACGCACACCCGCACGACGACGGACGAAAAGAGATAGCAATAGGTCACCTGAGTGACTCAGGTGACCTAAAAATACAAAGAAAATCCTAAAAAAAAAATACTGAAAGTCAAATTCTGAGTTGTCAGTAAATTCATGCATGCATGTAAAGTACTCAAACACAAAAAAATCAGTTTAAAAGCATGTCGTGTGAGGAGACGTTCGATTTTTATGCTGTCTTTTTGATACTCGAGTACTTTTCATGCACAAGTGAACACACTGACCACAACTCATAATTCGACTTTTAAATTTAATTTTTTTTAGACTTTTTTTGGTATTTTCATTACATAAAATACCTTGATCAAGGTATTTGTAATACCTTGATAAAGCTATATAGCTTTATCAAGCTATATACCTTTATCAGAGTATTGTGCTGGACCTGTATAAACAATCCTTTTTAATGGCTCAAGATTCAGCAACATTTAAAAAAAATTATCGAATATTAACACTTACTAAAGGTAGGTGTTCTGTTGGTAGTTTTGATATCTTCTCTCCAAGCGCTTCGTCAAAGCTGGAAACATCTTCAATTTCCACTTCAAGCCAGTATTGTCCCAAGTTGTAATTCCGTTTCAACTGGTCTCTGAAATTCAATTGTTGGTTAAAACAAAAGTAAGAACAAGATGAAGATAATCCCTTCGAATCTTACTAATCTACAGTAAATAAATTGACAATAGATCGTAAGTAATCTACATTTTACTGAGACACGAAAGACGATAGTCACCTATAGGTGTACGAAAAGTTTCCCTCGTGGAATTGACGTATGAAATCCTTTAAACGTTTCTTCACTTGTTGCCTGTTGATTTGATTATCATCTGTTTGCTCCTCCGATCCGAAGTTATCACTGAAGAATACTCCACCTTCGTCAAACCCTGCCATCTTTGTTTTGTTCACGTGTGTACAATTGGCGCGAAACTTTGGCGGATTTTTTTTCTTCAGTAAAGTCAGATGTGTTCCGAATAAAATAAAGATAAGTTGTACTTGCCTGAAGTCGGCCTGTACAATATATCAATCAGCCATTCGATGCGGACAATATTGCAATGAAACATTGTTAAAAAAAAAAAAAGAAAAAAAGCATCATCGACATAAAATAAAATAATAATACTTATCTCTCTGGTGATTCATCTAAATATTTTAATGCAGTCTACAGTAAAATTGAAACTTTTGACTTTGAACAAAGTCTATTTCATTATCCAACTAGTTATAATTGTAACGGGGACCGTTACAGATGTTCCCCAAACGCTCCCCAACTCCCTTTTGGTGTCTTATTCCTTGTAAGCTTCATTGAATAAGGCAATCAAGTATATTGGGTTTTTTACGCATTACACGCGTGCGAACGTGCATGCATGTGCAGGATGGTCATGTCATCTCGTCTATACTATAAATGCATCTTAATTCTGAGTATCGAAACATTTCATAAAAAAATATAAAAGTTACGGCTATATCAAGCATAATGTTCATTTATAAGCATTGTACGCGCGCGCACGTGCATGCATGTGCATGTTGACAAAACTATCGTGTCTACACCATTAATATTTCTCCATAGTATAAGTATTGAAGCATTTCGTCAAAAAGTATAAAAGTTACAGCTATATCAATTTTATAGGTCATTTTAGCATTGCACGCGCGCGCACGTGAATGCATGTGCATGTTGACCATATCATCTTTTCTACATTCTAAGTACAGTTTTATAATCTTCTCTATATTATAAGAATCAAAGCATTTCATCAAACAGTATAGAAGTAACGGCTATATCAAGTATATTGGTCATTTTTCGCATTGCACGTGCGCGCACGTGCATGTATATGCATGGTGACCATATCATCTTTTCTATCCTTTCATTATATTTCTATTTTTTGAGTTTCAAAGTATTTCATCAAAACGTTTAAAAGTGACGGTTACATCAAGTATATTGGTCATTAAACGCATTGCGCATGCGCATGCATGCATGGTCTTGCATTCAATTTTGATAGTATCATAATGTTGGAATCTATTATACCTATTTATATTGTAAATTTCATCCTGCTTTGTTGAAAACCAAGAAAGTTATAGCCATTTAAAGTTTAAGCCAATCAGATTGCAGCACACGTGCATGCGCGTGTTTTCATGATAATTTTTATATATTATATTGTCCAATCTCCTAATGTATGACTATGTTCTAAATTTTAAAGTATTTTGTCAAAAACCAAAAAAGATACTGAGACTTTTGTTTCAGCCAATCAAAGCGAAGCGCATGTGCATGCGCGTGAGTTCATGCTGATTTGACCATGTCATCTTGTCAACTCTACTAATATATCCTTAACGAGGTTCGCTCCTGAGCTTTTGAGCAGATTTATATCTTAACCTATATTTTATAAATTCTGCATGATGTTTTAATTCTTGCAATAAAATTGGATTCTACAATGCCAATTAAACTATACTCAGTTAAAACTCCATGATTAAATTCCATACCAAAAGCATTAAGTGAGGAACTATATTTTGTGGCGGAAGGTTTTTTAGAAGAAAATGATCATTTTTTCTCTTTCGAAGTATTCAAAGTATGTTAAGTTTGGATTCCTATTTTTACATAAAGTCTACACAAAGAGTTATTTTGTGCAGTGAACTGTTTTATACTGGTCCTAAATTATATATTAAATAAACTGTCATGAATTCTATCATCATATTTGATAAATATAGCAAATATATTGTGAAAATCAAGAAAAAAATATCCCTAATTTAAGCTTAAAATTAGCACTTTTTTAGTAATATCTAAAAATTAACATCACAGACCCCCACTTTTTATTTTCTTTTCTGAATATATAAGATGCTTTGAACCATTCTTCTTAATTTCAGTAAAATGTCATTACTTTCAAATGCTTTTTTTGGTGTTAAAGTTCTAATGCCAGGATAATGAAATTTTTTAGTCCAAAAAGGTCAAATAATTGAACATGCGGAGTAATTTCAAAAAATTTTTCATTGTCACAAATTTTAATGTGTCTATTCAAGATGAAATAGGACTGTGTTTGTTCCCATAATTTATTTGAATAAAAAATATTTGAGGAAAAACTTTACAAATTGATTTATGTGTAAGAAGTATTTACAGTGCAAAGAAGTCAAACAAATGCTCTGTAGCGCCAAAAGAAGCGCATTGACCCCCAATTTTTGTTTTGATTTTTAATTAAGCTATGTGTATAAATTCTAAAAATATACTTGATAAAAAATTCTCATTACTTTTGATGGCAGGATCCAACCTCCTTAAGTTATAAGTTTCAAAGCATTTCATCAAAAAATGTAAAAGTTACGGCTATATGAAGTATGTCAGTCATTTCACTCAATGCACGCGCCCGCACGTGCATGCATGTGCGCGCAAAATGACCTTCGACGAGCACATCTACACAACATGCCTATTAACCCTAAAAAGGTTTTAACTCAATTGGATGAGCAGTTTCCGAGAACACTCGCGGAACAAAAAGTACCGGAGAAGAAATAAGAATAAAAAAGAATAATAATAATAAGAAGAAGAAGAAACAGAGTAAAAACAATATGTTCCCAAACTTCGTTTGGGGAACATAATTAAGGGTATAAGCTTCGAGACCTAAACATATCTTATTTTATTTCTAAATTTCTTTATTGGTATAAGCCATGTCTCAATATTTGCAAAGCGTACATGTTTATATTTTGAACATGTTTCTTAATTAATCTTCAATTTTGTTAAATAACAGGAAAGGAGAAAATGTATGGCTCTGGACTGGGAATCGAACCCAGAACCCCTGTATTACTAGTCAGATGCTTTACCGACTTAGCAACCAAGGCTGATATCCACAGCCCAGACTATTACATTCCTCCCTCTTTAAATTGTCTTTACCCTCGAAAACAATCCAATTATAAGTTCTTAAATTAATGCCCTGGCAGCTAGGACTTTCACTTGGCAATGCAAGTCCAATTAAGTCAAGGCACCAAATTATGCAACAGGAAAGGAGATAAATGTATGGTTGGACCGGGAATCGAACCTGGGACCCCTGCATCACTAGTCATGTCGCTGCTCTACCAACTGAGCTACCCAGACCGATATCCTGAGTCCAAATAAATCATTATAAATATATTGTACATGCAATACTTTCTGCTAAAAAACCAGGGGTCTGTTTTACAAAAGAACTTACGACTAAGACCAAAAACTTTAGGTAATTGTAAAATCTTGCACAATTAATGATTTAATTACAAATTGCCAGCATAGATATTATTTTTCTAAATTCTTTTAAGAAAGATTAAAACCATTTTCATATTAACGAAAAAAGGAAAGATATTTGCAAAATTGCATTTTGGTCTTAGTCATAAGTTCTTTTGTAAAACAGGGCCCAGGAGCAGAGAAGATTTTCAAAGAAATTCTGCATTTTCACTAAATAATTAAAAGAGCCCCTCCACTCCCCCCCCCCCCCATCATCACCAGAACCTCTGACCCTGGGCCACAGATTTCACAATTTTGGTAGAGGCACCCTTGCTCATCATAACCATGCACCTAGTCTAACTGCTAAATATACAAGGGAGAGGAGAAGGTTTTAAAATCATTTACACTACAATCATGCCAACAGTTTGACTGCTGGATGTCCAGGAGTAAAGAAGATTTTTAAAAGGTGATATCAGACAGACAGATGGGTTGACAGACTGATCACTATTGGGCACCTGGTCCCAGGATCATCAAGTCAAAAAATATATATATTGTGATGAAATGATTTAGAAATTGAGCAGTCTAGAATAAAAATGTTCTTTTTTTAAACTTTGCATTAATAAACTGCTGCTGTATGCAAATGAAAAGTTCCAGATTACAGGTAATGAACATTTTATAGATGATTGAAATTTTGGGTTAATCTTATTTCATGATACCATGGGCCTGAAGTACAGGGCCCTAATTTGTCTTCATAGAACGAGAAAATAGACACCATAAATTTGTTTTACTGATTTTCAAACAGAAAAATTAAAACCTAGTGTAGCGATCATTTTTATTCATTCAGTAGTTTTTTAAAAGTTAAATAGTATATCTTGTTGTATGATTTTGCCATAGCATGTATTTTGGGAAGAAATTCAGAAAAAGAAAAACAAATTGTACTGTAATGTATAACTTATACAAAACAAAACTTGGTTTACATGTATATATAAATTAACATGCCAATTCCCACAGATTTTAAATATTCTCCATACCTACTTCTTTATTCAAGTTATGAATAAAAGTTTGAAAAAAAAAAATGACTCAATGATTTCAGAGATATTGTAAAGATTTAAAAATTTAGTACATTCATTCCAATCTAATTAAAATATCAGACCTTTTTAGATCTGCGCCGTTTACACTCTTACGCTGAGTGTAATGGCACGGATCTAAGAAGTCTGGTTTCAATTAGATTGACATTCATTCATACAAATAATTTTCCTTTTAAAAAAAATCATTAAGAACCTATTCAACAATATATTGAGTGACCAGATATTATCAATCATCATTATAACATGCATAAAATACAGTTATCAAAGATTGTTCATTTCTACCATATTGATTGAAATAAAGTATTGTGAACTATGGTAATTACCGGTACACTTACAAATTTCTTTCTTGTTAGGGTTTATCTATTAAATGCAATCATCTCAAAATTATCACTATTTAACTGCTTCTTGTCATTACATACCAAACATATTGTACAGGTAGAGCAGTACATAAAATAATTTAATGCAATAAGAACAACATATAAGTTAAAATTTTGTCTGTTTCTCTTTTTTACATGTTGCTTCGCCCATAGGGTAGGTACACATGCAAGAATTTATTTTTTGTAAAATCATAAAAATTACTATTAATTTTTTATGCTTATAATCAAAATATGTACCGACAAAAACAAATGCACAGAGAACCAAAAAATAACTAGTTTTAAGTTGGGATCTTTTGGTGTAATCACAACAGAAAGCAATCAAAATTTTAATCACCTTCTATACTGTGAAAATGAAATTAAACTTTTCACTCTAATCATCCCCTGAAACACCTACTTACATGTAAGCAATATCACCCTGTTTATATTTTTTGACTATGCTGGTTATATACTTGTGTGTATTTTTATGTTCTGAACAGATTAAGAAGAATGAAAATTTTAAGTGGACAGTTTCCCCTTTATATACAGGGAAAAAAACTCCAAAATATCAGATCTTCTAACTGCTGCATAATAATAATGTATTCAATGATGTACAAGATGTGAATGTTAGGCCAGGAAAATAAAATTATACTTAATTCACATGTTAAAGTATAAATAGTATGCAGTGTAGCTATATCAAAATTCACATACATGTAGACGGTTTTATCTGGAAAAAGAAGGGAATTTTATCTATACAAAAAAGTACACATGTACATTATCTAATCTTTAATATTATGCGTTCACATATTTATCAAGATCATTTTAAACTTGTTTATCTTTAAGGACATGTAGAAAATGCAATCAGCATTACAAAAAAAAAAAAATTATGTTACCCCACTAAAACAAATTAAAATAAATAATAAATCTTCAATACAAACAAAAAGATTATAGCCAGCACTTTTGGTTTTCTTGTACAATTATCACCCGAGAAATTGATTTCTATCATCAGTAATTACATTCATATGAGCTTGCATTCCCATCATAGGAATTTAACTAGTACAGAACCAGTCTTTTTAGACATAAAACTGTCTTCAACTGGTTTAAATATAAAACAAGTATATGTAGTAGACAAGTAAAATTTTCTTCCAACTTTGTTTTGCATAAAGTACAATATTTTCTATATTAAAGACTTATGTCATTTGAAAACTTGCTTTCTATATCATGTGATACTTTTGTATAGAGACACAGTACAATTATTGTCATTAAATTGTTCTTACTGGAATTCTCAGCAGACCTATCTATCATTGGTAAAATATCCTTATGATTAAATTTGATGGGCAAATGCTCACCTGAGTAGTAAATGATGAATTTAGATAAAACATCCATAAAATCTAACAATACCACCCAAACTGAAGAAAAATTTAATGACATACATATGTATATAAAAGAAAATTGGTACAATATACATGTACATATCCAAAAATTACACCATGTAAATATATCCCTTAATGTCATATCAAACAGCAGTATATATATCATGGTTTAAACATAAAAATTATTGCCAATGGTTGACATAGTTGGAAATAATATACTGCTGATGGGGGTCAAAGTTGAAAAAAAATACAATCTCAAACACAGAATGAGCATTCCATGTTGTGCAAGGGAAACATATGACAATAAATAAATCATACATGATGTATATGACCCCGATTCATCAGCTCTGTTGTGTCTTCATTAGGCAGGAGAGTCCTTAGTAAACTTTGAAAAATTCCAAGAGATTCCTGAAGACCAATGGAGGACATGTAACGGCTATTCCAGGCTGCCTTGTAAGGTTCCATTACCTCTAAAATTCTTTGGAAAAAAAATGAAATGAATACATTTTTCCGATAACTTTCAGATTTAAAAAAATAATTTAAATATAAATGAGAAGAAATAAGTTGCAAAGATACTGAGTGCTTAACTTTGGAGAAACCATATTTTTTAAATTGATAAAAAACTAGAAATATGTCCATAGGACATGAAAGCCCCGCCGAGGGTATATTTGTAATGCAACATTTTAACACAAATTGAGAAAAGTGAGGTCAAGGTCAAATGAAAGGTCAAGGTCAAAAATTGTTTATGCAGTTGAAAAGGTTACATCAGTATGTATTAGCACATGAAGTTTGATAAAAATATTATGAATGGTTTTAAAACTGAGCTAAACACTAATTTAAGAAAAGTGAGGTCAAGGTCAAAGGAAAGGTCAAAGTAAAAAAATATTGATGCAGTTGAAAAGCTCTCATCAGTATGTATCAGCATATAAAGTTTGACACTAATTTAAGAAAAGTGAGGTCAAGTTCAAAGGAAAGGTCAAGGTCAAAAAATGTTGATGCAGTTGAATAGCTCTCATCAGTATGTATCAGCATATGAAGTTTGTTAAAAATATCTTGAATGGTTTCAGGTCGAAAAATGTTGGTGCAGTTGAATAACTTACATCAGTATGTATCAACATATGAGATTTGATTACACTATCTTGAATGGTATCTTTAAAACTGAGCTAAACACTAATTTAAGAAAAATGAGGTCAAGGTCAAAAGAAATGTCAAGGTCAAAAAATGTTGATGCGGTTGAATAGCTCTCATCAGTATGTATCAGCATATGAAGTTTCTTAAAAATATCTTGAATGGTTTCATTAAAACTGAGCTAAACACTAATTTAAGAAAAGTGAGGTCAAGGTCAAAGGAAAGGTCAAGGTCAAAAAATGTTGATGCAGTTGCATAGCTCTCATCAATATCTATCAGCATATGAAGTTTGATAAAAATATCTTGGATAGTTACTTTGAAACTGAGCTTTGAACAGAGCTAAACGCAAAGTGTGACGGAAGGACAGACGGAAGGACGGAAGACGGACATGAGAAACACTATATGCCCTGGCCATATTCATGGTGGGGCATAAAAATCCTTGATTGTACATTAATTATGTAAAACAACTCATACACAGATATACAAGATGCCATTTTCAACAAAAGCTTTATATCATACTGCCAATGAAATTATGGGATTTTTTAATGCCAAATTTTCCGTACTTGTAAAACAAAAAGCATTTCAGAGTGGTACATTGTATTTGTAAATGTGTATCATACATGTGTGTTATATAAGAGTAACAAGAGGCCCAAGGGCCTTAACGGTCACCTGAGTATAATACAACAATTAAGAGGATCCATAGACTGATAAATGAAGCTTTTTTGCCCAAAATCAAGAAAAATAGAATGATTAGTATAAACAAAACAAGAGGCCCAAGGGCCTTAACGGTCACCTGAGTATAATACAACAATTTAGAAGTTAAATACACTTATAGATGAAGCTTTGTTGCCCTAAAGCAAGAGAAGTAGGAAGATCAGGATCAACAAAATAATTAGTCTAGTATTCAATATCAACTCATAAATTAAGTTCTAATCTGTCCCCCACTTAACACTATCACCATGCAGACTATTAACAAACTATTAGTGCTTCAGTACTATTTTTAAACCCATATTAAGAGCTCTAGCATTGACCTCTCTTATGGTCTTTGAAGAACTTTCAATAAGATAAGTTATTTTTGTCTCATTTTTATTTATCTATTACTTACAGGTCAACCTGATTATTAAAACTAAGAAAATACTTTTTGAATTATATGATAAACATTCTTGCATAATTATCTTATTCCATTAACCTTTCAAATACATTATTTACAGTGATTAATTATCAAAGGTGAATGGAAAAGGGGAATAACTTCGCCCAGTAGAATACAAATTAATAGAGCCCTGCCCAGGACTAGAATGCTTAGACAAATGGTCCAGATGTTCAAAAATCTGGTAGAAATACGCTTACTTATATCATTTAAACTTTTACTCAGTTTTCTCCCAATATGCCCAGAAGCAGAGAAGAATTTCACAGGTACAATGCATTTTCACTACAGATTCAACAAAGCCTTACCCTAACACCAGAACCCAAGACCAAGGGTCAAGAAATTTACAAATTTGGAAGAGTTACCCTCATCGTCATACCTAAGGACTTCAAAGAATTAACACTTTTCCACTATATTATCAAAAGCCCCCCCCCCCCCCCCAGTTATGCCAGAACCCCTGACCCTAGGACCACAAGATTTAAAAATTCTGTTCGAAGCTCACATTTTCATCATAGCTAAGCAATTTATTTATCAGCTCAATGCTAAGGAGCAGACAGGATTAATTAATGATTAATTAATAGAATTAATGCTTTTTCACTATATAATCAATAGAGCCCCCCCCCCTTCCTCAAGAACCCCAAAAACTGAGGCCATATATTTGAAAATTTTGGAAGAGGCATCCTTGCCTATCATAATCATGCACTTAGTTTGTTTAAATAATCTCCAGTAGCAGAGAAGAAGATTTTCAAAGAATCAATGCATTTTCACTATATAATCAATAGAGCCCCACCCTAACACCAGAACCCCTGAGCCTGGGGCCATGAATTTCACAATTTTGGAAGAGGCACTCTTGCTCATCATAACTATGTACTTAGTTACTTTATTTAATACCCAGGAGCAGAGAAGAAGATTTTCAAAGGAATAATGCACTTTCACTATATGATCTATATAGCCCCCACCCTAGCACCAGAACCCCTGACCCTGGGGCCATGAATTCCACAATTTTGGTAGAGGGCTCAATGCTTACTACAATCATGCCAACAGTTTGACTGCTTGATGTCCAGGAGTAAAGAAGAAGATTTTTAAAGACTGCACTAATTTTGGTGGTTTTAGCCCCAGCCCCTCAGGCCCCGGGGGGGGGGGGGGGGGCAGGAACCATGAAATTCACAATTTTTGTTCCCCTTCACCCATAGATGCTATATGCCAAATTTAGTTGAAATTGGTTCAGTGGTTCAAGAGAAGAAGCTGAAAATATTCAAAAGTTTATGACCGACGGACGACACACGACGGACGCCGACAGACGAAAACAGATAGCAATAGGTCACCAGACTGACTCAGGTGACCTAATAAATCTGGATATATTGTTGTCTCGAGTACTGAAAACATATGTACATGTAATTTAGAAGTAGATATTTTGCACAGTTCATGCTGTTTTTTGTATGCTTAGTAAACACTTTGTTTTTAAAACAAATACTTAGAAGCTTGATTCTACATGTGCAAATTAATGATTAAACATTAATTAGGTGATGACGAAGATTGTGTGCTAATTTATGAGTTTACAGTATATCATTACACTACCAACACTCATATTAAAATTTACAAGAAGGTATTTGCCTAGATTTTATGCACAACTTACCTGTTTGCTATGTCAGTCTTTACAGTGGCAGTAAGGTTGTTTATACCAAGATTGATAGCAGCATACCCAGCAGTTCCACTGGGATTCTTCCCAGTAATCAGGAGGGAACGGCATATTCTGTAGAAATGATGAAAAAACAATCTTTATTGATCCAGCTAGATGAAACGGATAAATAAAACTTGTAGGAACAGTCAAACTTCACTTCAGTGTTCATTTAATAAAGAGTGTACGTTCTAGATATTAACTCCCAACAGCTCACCTAGTGGCCAGTAACATAAGTTCACATGCCATGTTTATCTCAGCTATTATTTCTTCTCTGTCTAGACACTGAAGATCTGCGTTATTCAGTTCTTGTTGACACTTTTTGACATGACGAACAGTTCGCTAAACAGCAATACAATGATAAATGATCAGTTAAAGTGTGGTATAATGATGTTTTAATCTGTATAGCAATTACATGTATACATTGTAGACAAAATTTACACATTTAGTACAAGTATTTTTCAAAGAATACACCCGAGATAAAAAGAAGCTAAAATATCATTTTAAAACGATATCTAAGATTCTTTATACTTCTGTTATATTAGTGCTTTCTGCCTTGTGAAAAAATAAATTCATGAATTGCAATCCCTTTTTGATTAAAATGGAAAATTTGTTTCATAACGTACAATCTACATGTACAGTTGAACCTCGGTATCTCAAACTTCAGTATCTCGAATACCATGGATATGTCTAAGTGAGTTGGAAGTCCTAACCACCTTTTCTACAAGTATTTTAACTTCAATATCTTGAATCCTTGGATATCTCTCAGTTTTTACACAGTCCAATCAAGTTTGAGGTAAGGAGGTTTGACTGTACATTGTTTGGCTGGAGTGTTAGAACTAACCTGTACAGCTTCTATAGACAGGTGCTCTATAGAAACAGTGTCAGGAGCCATCAGGAATTTAAAAAGGGTAGATCCTAATGCATCAGGAAGTCTTTGGGTATCTCCAGCTAAAACAGACCAAATCAAGAAGTCTGTGAGCCAATGCTTACTAATAATACTCCCGCTTTGATGTGAATGTACACAAGTTCAGTTATGGACAGACCCAAGGAAGAACAAGAAGTTGACATCGGATTCGTACAAAAATGATTCCCACTACATGGCATGCCTAAACAAAGAGTGTGCTAAAATTTCAAGCATCTGCAATCAGTAGTTGCTAAGAAAACTGTGACCAAAATTTGTTATGTATGGTACGGACAGATGCATGGATAAACAGGAAGTTGACATCGGATTTGTAAAAAAAATTAATCCCATTATATGGCATGCCTAAACAAAGAATGTGCTAAAATTTCAAGCATCTGCAGTCAGTAGTTGCTGAGAAAACTGCGACCAAAATTTGTTATGTATGGTATGGACAGATGCACAGATAAACAGAAAGTTGACACCGGAATCCCACCATATGGCATGCCTCAACAAAGTGTGTGCTAAAATTTCAAGCATCTGCGATGAGTAGTTGCTGAGAAAACTGTGACGAAAATTTGTTACAGACAGACAGACACACAAGGGTAAAACAGTATCCAAAGGAGCGGGGGTATAATTACTAGTACGTATTGGAAGTAAGCAATTAAACACTTTGTCTGAAAGATAAATGTCTGCCAGCAGATATTCCACAAATTTCCTTCATATTTCAACTCATTTGATATACATTAGATTAAAATTTGTATGTAATGCATATATTGTAAAGGAGTCTTTGCCTTACTTACCCATCTGTGCCCTGGAGCATCAGATGAGATAGATTTCTGTTCTGTCCAGTTCTAGAATAACCTAAATTTACCTGTCTGAGCCCTGGAACATCGGATGAGATAGGTTTCTGCTCTGCCAAGTTCTACTATGACCTGACCTGCTATGGATTTCTTATCACAAAACATATGTTGATTCATCAGTTCTCCTAGGTTGGCGAAAAGAAAGTCCTGTAAATAAAAATCATCATTAAAATTCAGTTAATTCTTTGGAACACTAAAATCATGTACCAATCACTTTCTACAACAACCCACATGTAACAATATACATTTATCAGAACAAATTTACCACCTCAGACCCAGAAAAACTGTAATTTACAATTTAAAATAAAACTAGAGGCCCATGGGCCACAATGCTCACCTGGATCCCTTGGCTGTCCTGCTCTTCATAACAAGATTTTAAAAAAACCATCTTTATTCACATGAAATATTCTTAGCCCATATTTTAGCCCCACCCTAGCCTCAAAGTATAATGAAATGACCTAACTTGAATTAACACATCATGGGGATCCTTTAATATCATTATGTTTAACATTGCCTTCCTATTACGCAGAAGAAGTAAACATAAACTACCCGGTAGATGAAAAGTCCTCCCTGATTTTATCCTTGCACTACCCCTAAAATCTACTGCAAAAATACTTATTTATAAGGTAATCATATTTTAGCGCCTTTCAGGCTGCTTCTTGTTCGCTAACTTATGCACCTGCTAATGAATGAATTAAACTTATACAGTGTATTTGTCATTTTCACGAATCATGATTGCATTAAACAGTTGAAGAGGAAGATTGCACTTAATTAACTTAAAGGGTACTGATTCGTGCATGTTAAGAAGGAAAACAAGAGGCCCATGGGCCACAATGCTCACCTGAGTTCCTTTTACCCTGCTATTCTTCTAAAGAAGATTTTGCAATAAAAATTCTCCCTTTATTATAAATCTGTACAACATAAGGATGCCTGCATATTGATTGGATTAATCAGGGTCCTGCTGTTCGTCATAAGATTTTAAAGGTTTTTTCAGTTGAAAAGTGGCAATCCCTACCTAAAAATGTGTTCAAGAGATGTTTTGGCTCTTCTATTGAAGTGATTATGTGAAAAGGACTCAATCAGCATAATCTTGACTCCAAATATGTACACTAATATGTACAAATGATCAAAAGTTGACATATTAGTTTACTTATAACACATATTATGTGACAATGTATGAGAACAAAGAGCAGTACAGTAAAACAAGCTTATAGCGAAGTGCCAGGGACCAACAATTTTAATTCGTTATAAGCGTAATTCATTATATTCATTAAGAATACAATATGTTTTAAATCATTAAGGAAAGAAAATCACTTCCCCGTAATTGTAAATTCATTATAAGCATGTTCGCTATAACTGTGTTTTACTGTATATCACCTTAGAGATTCAGATAACCTAGGCATGAATGACTACCTGGTGACAGTTGGAATTCCATGATAATCCAGATGTTAACATGTATGCTGGCCAAGAGAAAAGATGACTATTCAGGTGTCCTTTTCCTGACCAATCACAGGCCACGATGCCAGTACACCCATGTGTCACCCCACACTTCACAGCATTGTATATATTTTTGATAGCTGCCTCTGGACAACCTGCAATACTGTAGAAGAAATAACCATTATCATAATTTGAAGAGTTTTTTTTACTAAGTTATTTAACACAAGACTTTTCTAACACAGCAAAACTGAAGATGAGATGGATAATTTACCTGTTCCATGCAGAAGTTCCAGGACAAAGGAAAAATCCCACTCTGAAAAGAAGTGCAAATGTTGAATTCTGTATTCATTTTTTTTTTAAATGTTTTTCTCCGTATTTTATATCTAAATTGGTGGTCTTCTCTATGAAGGATATAAAATTAATCTGAACTTCAAGGTATTCAATCAAGAATAAAAAAAGCAAAAAATACAATCAACAATACCCTTTCTCTGAAAGAGGTGTACAGAATCTTCTAAATTCATAATCTGCCTGTAAAAAAGATTAAAATATACTGAAACAACAAACCACTAGAGACAATATGGCCAAAACTGAAATACATGTACATGTAAATTCAAAATTTGATAAAATGATCTCATAATTGATGTACATGTAATCATTTTAAGAACATGTACCTGCAAATCAACCCCCCAAATATTATTGTACAAAATGAAAGGCCCATGGGCCACATCACTCACCAGAGTCACTTTAAACTGCTGTTCTCATCACCAGATTTTTTCTTTTTAAATTTCATTCTTTAATTTCATATAAATGATGACTTCATAATGTGGATCAAAATCCAGTCACAAAGTAAGCTATTCTTTAATCATAGTGGAATCCACTTAACATTGGGATGCTTCAATATCAATACAATCAACATTGTCCTGCCACTCTGGAGAAGTTTTTTTTTATTGATATAAAATTTGGATCCCTGATTTTGGTCTAACCCTAATCTGTGGACTCATAATTTAAACAGGAGGCCCATGGGCCACATTGATCAACTGAGCACATTGGCTAGGAAAAAGCACAAATCAGTTCAGTATTTAAAAGTTTACGGGGGGGGGGGGGGGGGGGGGGGGGGGGGGCACTTGAATTTTACTTTTACACTACCTGAGGATGCATCCATATCAATATAACAAATGGCTTTGCTGTTTTTGAGAAGAAGATTTCTAAAGATTTTTTTCCTTAATATTCCTTTGTGAAATTTGATCCCCTATTGTGGCCCCTTCCTACCCCTGGGGTTCATGATGTGAACAAAATTGAATCTACACTACATGAGTATGATTCCATATCAATATGACTAAACATATCTTTTTTGTCTTTTAAAACATTTTTCATATATATTCTTGTGTAAAACTTTGATCCCCCTATGGTGGCCCATGCTACCCCAGAGGGTCATGATTTGAACAAACTTGAATCTACACTACCTGAGGATGCTTCCATATCAATATGACTAATCATGGATTTACTTTTCTTGAAAGGAAGATTTTTAAAAGATTTTTTGCCTATATTCCTATGTAAAACTTTGATCCCCATATTGAAGCTCTGCGCTACCCTTGGGAGCCATGATTTGAACAAATTTGAATCTACAATACCTGAGAATGGTTCCACATTAATGAGACTAATTGTGGCTTTGTTGTTCTTGAGATGAAGACTTTTTAAAGACTTTTTCCCCAAAATATATTCCTAAGGCTATGTAAAAATATACACTATGTAATGAAGATTTCTTATGTTTCATCTTTTCTGGACAAGTGGTTCTTCTGAAGAAGACTCTCAAATGATGCCATTAAATTTTTACTAATTATTAATTATTTCCCCTTGAAAGAAGACTCTGCCCTTCATCTGAGCAAAATTAAATCATACTCACTCAAGGATGCTTTTGGAAAATAAATAATTGACAAACTCAAAGTCTAACAGCACTTAACATGGTCTTCAAAATATCCTGATTCTTAGCTGCAGAACTGTAGCATTATGGTTTTATATCTTAGTCTTTGACCATAACGCTGCAGATCTAGTAATGTAAATAAAGGGCAATTTACATCACCAGATTTTCTGCCTACCTGATTCTCTGGATCATTAAGAAACAGAAAGAGAACAAAATGACTAAAAGAAAATATTGACTGGGTTACCAACATTTTTGCTTTGAGTTGGAAGATAGATTATCCATGACAAATATAAATATTTTTCATTTGCCTATTTCAAGGTCAAAACAAAAGACAACACCAACATATTATTTACCCATCTAGTAATTAACTAGATGATAATCAGAATAAATCACACTTTAAATTTTATATCTTTTAAGCTTAAGTTAAGCCACATAAGTTTCATTTCTTTTTTGGCCCAGTGGTTCTTGAGAAGATTTTAAATGACCCCACCCTATTTTGCCTTTTCTTGATTATCTTCCCTTGGAATGGGGCTGGCTCTTTATTTGAACAATTTAGAATCCTCTTTACCCCAGGATTCTTTGTGCCAACTGGTTAAAATTGCCCTAGTGGATCTTGAAAAGAAGTTGACAATGTTAAAAGTTTACAGATGGATGAATGTTGGACAAATAGTGATCAGAAACACTCACTTTATAGCTGTCAGCTCAGGTGAGCTAAAAAACTAAAACTGAGATCTTTAAACAATGCAGATAAACACTGTGTCACATTTATTTCATATTTTGGAGACTGTAAGAGAACTATTCTCAGTATGTTTGTCAGTTCTCTGATAATGTTAGAGGAGTATCGCACACGATGTTCAGTACTCGATAACACCATGCCTCGTTACCTCTACATGTATGTGTCTATGTACAAATAAACACATTCTTTCCATTTAATACATTTCTACATCAAGTATGAAATTCAAATTAATTTTTACTCTTAATGTACACAAAATTATTATACGTACATGTACAAATGTAAATTATGAAAGTTAGAGACATGAATACAAGGTAATTTTTCAAAACCAAAAAAGACAAGAGGCCCACGGGCCTTATAGGTCACCTGAGTATCATGCAACAACTTCGCCACAATGGATTCATGTTTTAAACCAGAGGCCATGAAATTCACAATTTCGAAAGAGGCACACTTGCTACTCATAATTTTACATTTAGTAAGCTTACTTAATACCCAGAAAGAGAGCAGAGGATTATCAAAGAATTAATGCATTTTCACTATGTAATCATTAGAGCTCTCCCTAACACCAGAACCATGATGCAGGGGCCATAAAATTCACAATTTTGGAAGAGGCATCCTTACATATCATAACAATACTCTTAGTTCATCAGCTTAATACCCAGGAGAAAAGAAGAAGATTTTCAAAGAATTATTGCATTTTTACTATGTAATCATTAGAGCCCCACCCTAACACCAGAACCCCTGACCCAGGGGCCATGAAATTCATAATTTTGGAAGAGGCACCTTTACTCATCATAACTATGCATCAGTTTGTTTGTTAAATACCCAGGATCAAAGAAAAAGATTTTTAAAGAAATAATGCATTATCACTATATATTCAACAGAGCTCCACCCTAACACCAGAACCCCTGACCTAGGGGACATGAATTTCACAATTTTGGAACAGGCACCCTTACATATTATAACTATACTCTTAGTTCATCAGCTTATTACCCAGGAGAAAAGGAGAAGATTGTCAAAGAATTATTGCATTTTTACTATGTAATCATTAGAGCCCCGCCCTAAAACCAGAACCCCTGACCAGGGGGCCATGAAATTCACAACATAGGAATAGGCACCCTTATTCATCATAACTATGCCTTCAGTTTGTTTGCCCTGGATTAGAGAAGATTTTTAGAAGAAATAATGCATTTTCACTATACATGTATATTCAACAGAACGCTGCCCTCACACCAGAACCCCTGACCCTGGGGCCATGAAATTCACAATTTTGGAAGAGGCACCTTTCATCATCATAACTATGTATTTATTTTGTTTTCACAATATCCAAGAGCACAGAAGAAGCTTTTTAAAGAAATAATGCATTATCACTATATATTCAACAGAGCCCCACCCTAACACCAGAACCCCTGACCCTTGGGCCATGAAATTCACAATTTTGGAAGAGGCACTCTTTCTCATCATAATTATGTACTTAGTTCATCGGCTTAATACCCAGGAGCAGAGGAGAAGATTTTTTAATAATTAATGCATTTTCACTACATAATCATAAGATACCCGCCCTAACACCAGAACCCCTGACCCGGGGGCCATGAAATTCACAATTTTAGAAGAGACACCTTTCCTCATCATAACTATACATATTGTTTGTTTCCTAAATACCCAAGAGCAGAGGAGAAGATTTTTTAAGAATAATGCTTTTCACTACATATTCAACAGAGCTCCACCCTAGCACCAGAACCCCTGACCCTGGGGCCATAAATTTCACAATTTAGGTAGAGGGCTCAATGCTTATTACATTCATGCCAACAGTTTGCCTGCTTGATGCCCAGGAGTAAAGAAGAAGATTTTTAAAGATTGCATTAATTCTGATGGTTTTAGCCCCACCCCTCAGGCCCCAGGGGGGTAGGGGTCATGAATTTCACAATTTTTACTCCCCTTCACATATAGATGCTATGTGCCAAATTTGGTTGAAATTGGTTCAGTGGTTCCAGAGAAGAAGCTGAAAATGTTCAAATGTTAACGCACGACGGACGACGGACGACGCACGACGCACGCCGACGGACGAAAACAGATAGCAATAGGTCACCTGAGTAAACTCAGGTGACCTAAAAATCTGTATGCATAGGTACCTCTATTCCATATTCACTGATAAGGACATTGGGTGGAATGTCAAACAACAGTTTGGTGTCCAGTCCATGTAAAGGATAGCCACAGATCTGGATAGTTCTGTCTCCTTGGAGAGGGAGCAGCTTTATAGAATCACTGGTATCCAGGCTACCATCATCTGCATCCAGGACAAAGCTACTCAGTCTAGGACCAAGGCTGACAAATCTGTGTAAAAAAAAATGTCAAAAAGAATTCTCTGTGATACACCTACAAATAGGTGATATAAAAAAGAAAGTGGCAAGTACAGCTTTTAGAAGATTCATGGTACATGTGCCATACAAAAAAGATGCCTTCTGCCTTCTCTTGTATCTTATTCAAATTTTACTAGGGGCTTACTGAGCATATTGGAAAGTGGCAATGAAATCCTGGAGTGTTGAATAAAGGTCATCCAGGTCTTCAAACTGAATCTGTGGCACCACATCTAGAACAGGAACCACCTGGATACCTCTGTCACTACAGTAACTATCTAAATCACAGATACAGCTGTAAAACAGAAAACAATATCAAATGAAATCATGCAACTTAAGAGAAAATACCTGACTGGCAATATGATTCATATGAAGGCATTTACAACCACTCCACTGTTTTAAATTTATGAACACTATAATAAACAATGGAATGGAGTCTTACATTAAACTTAGATCTGATATATAGATATTTTTTTCTCCCTTAGATACAAACCTTTTAGAGTAAGGGGCCTGCCACCCAGGTTCATCTTTCTTTGTAAATCTACAGTAAAGTTGAATCTGGAAGAATATGGTTAAAAGTATCAAAATGCAGTTTATATTACATTACATAGAAAAACTGGTGGCCATCATTTCTTAAGATAGGAGAAAAAAAATAACATACCATGTTAATCTTATTCAGAGATAGTGAATCTATGACGTATTTGAGTGAATTCTTCATGAGTAGTCTCCCTTGAGAAATATCAAGTAGTATTCCTCTGTAATGAATGTCTGGCCAATCATCTATCTAAAGTGAAATTCAAAAATCTAACTTAATACTATACAAAATACTCTGGGTTATAACACTCACCTGAGTCACAGTTTTTCTTATTCATCACAATGATGATGTCACACTTCCCATCTTTGTGACCTAAGCATGCTAGTATATTCTTATCATTTTTTAACCTTTCTATTGTGTAGAAACTAAAAATTGAACTCCTTTTACCCAAGAATACTCTGTAGCAAGTGTGATTGAAAATTGATGTTTTTTTAAAGACATTGAAAATGTGAAAAGTTAACAGACAACAAACAAACAGCAGATAAATGTAAAGAGATTTCAATCAAAAAGGTTTACAATAGCTTTTGGCTAAGCATTAATTTTTTATTAAAGAAACATTTTACAACGCTAGATGATTAAATAACTTACAAGGAGAGGAGGAACATGTATTTTCTCATCCTTATACAGTGAAAATAATTGAAAGACCGTAGCTATCGCATAATGCAAGCTGGGTACATCACTACATACTATCTTGACCTGCAATGTAAAACATATACACACATGCATGAAGTAATATTTTCAATATTCCAGCAATTGTTATGTCACTACTGCATATATCATTTGATTTCTTTTTAATACTGAAAGTTTTGCAATTTCTTATCTTTTTTCCTTACATATATATAATTATATATGTACATGTATATATTTATATATTTTTTTTACAAAATAGTTGCAAAATGTATCAAACTATACAAAATTTATTTAATAAAAAATTACACACAAAACATGTATGACATAGTACATTTTAAATTCTGTAATTTTAATGATTATTCTACAATATCATTATCTTGTGTAAGAACTTTTACTGATAAGATTTGCAGAAAAATTACATGACTTTTGTGATATACACATTCTTTTTATTAAAATCTGCCCAAAGCTGTAGATGAAGCAACATTTTCAAATACTAGTTTTAGTTGCCATGGTAACAATTTTGATAAAAATAAAATTTAAAATCTATAGATAAATACAGAGAGTCAAACCTCGATATCTCAAACTCAATAGAACTGAGAAAAAAACTTCAAGATATCTGAGGATTCAAGATATTCAAGGTAAGATACTTAAAGAATAAGAGGTTGGGACTTCCAAATCACTTCAATATATCCAGGGTATTTGAGATATCAGTGTTTGAGATAACGAATTTCCACTGCATGTAAAGCAAGAGCTGAAAATCATTATAAATGCAATTTAACATCTCTAGTTCACCTTCCTTCCACCAATACTGTAATCACACTACTTATATACATTGAAGTACCTGATTTGATGAAATTGTGAGTTTATACAGAGCACAGCCTGGGCACACTCGGCTGTTGACACAACACATAATGTGTGGAACGGAATTGTTAGATAACAGAGTAAATACTTCTACTGTCACATGTAGACTAAGCATCTCAAAGGCAGATTTTCTAGTCTGCCAAATCTTCAGCACATCTTTGGAACCTACAAAAAAATATGCTCATTAATCCCAGGATATCTGATGTTTGGTATCTTATACATGTACATCTTGCATTACATGACTACCAAATGAAATATACAGGTAAACTTCGGTATCTCGACATCGGATATGTCGACAACCTGGGATATGTCGACATCCTTCCGCGGTCCCGGCAGTATTTACTATATAAATGATTTGCAAAAACTCTGATATGTCGACCTCGGTAATGTCGACAACCCGGGTTATCTCGACGTATATTTACAGTCCCAAGAGCAAAATTTACCTGGTATATGTCGACATCGGCAATTTTCTGCTCTATTGAACCTAACAGTTTGTCAGATAGGGTCGCTCGTCACGCACGGACGACTCCGGGTATCTCGACGTCGTCAAAGTTTCACACCTTTCACACCCCTGTTTTGACTGCACGCTGCTTAATTAATTTCATAGACTGTGTTTGTAGGTGAATCCCAAGCCCCTTCGGCGTCTTCGAGAAGTTAATTGGGCTTGAGTAATATCATTGCTAAATCTACACGATTCTGCGTAAATGTACAGAATGTTATTTATATCGAAACGTAACATAACTTTTAAATTTGAAAAAGATAACTAAATTACAATGAATAACAAAAACACACTGAAAAATTCATACTAAGGAATTAAAAAAAAGGTTTTAATGATATTTTGTAGTTAAAATATATTTAACAGGAAACAATCCAATTAACGACACGATTGTCAGAATCAGTCGTAATTCGTGCATCCGTAACATCACTGCGTTAGTTTAGATACACAAATCTCTTTAAAAAAAAAATTTTATTGTACATTCTCTCTGAATGAAATAAGAAAAATATAATCCGCATTTATTTTTTTTTACCGTATATCGGATGTCGACTTTATACGGTTCGAAGTTTATAGAGCGCATTTCGTATCCTGTTCTGACGAAAAGGCAAGTTACACTCGAATGCAGCTCAATGCTGTAACTTTGTGCTGAAAGTTTGTGAATTTAGAAAGATTTCGATAAGGAACACGTAAACAAGATTTTTAAAATAACTTCTTAGATTTTTAATAAAAATAGAGGGAATTCTGAAATATGTTGAGTTACAGTCTATATTAAAGTCATGTACATATAATAAGCTTGTCTGTTTTGCTTTACAATGAAATCTTGGACGTCAAGTCTCAACTCTGATATCTCGACACCTCGGATATCTCGACATTTTCCGATGGTCCCGTCGATGTCGAGATAACGAAGTTTACCTGTATATTACTTTTGTTGAACTAAATTGGATCACTCCTTTAAATAAATTCTATCAATATCAAAGAGACAATACAATGCAATATGTCATCAGTGTGGAAAAATCTCTTTCCTTATTTAATAATCACTTACTTTCATTAGGACCTGTAGAAACAAAGACTGGTAGCTGATAGTCCAGTGTAAATGGTTTGCCATCCCTTTGAATGATGCTCTGGGGCTGAGGCCATAATAATCCTAATTTCTCTTCAGTCACTACTGGTTTAGGGGGTTGAAGAGTGGAATCCAATGAAATATTTTTCTACAAACAAGGAATACTAGTAAGACAAAGAACTGAGACATTTTCAGTTAAAGCCATTCTTTAAAGAATTATAAGGTAATCTTGAATTTTATAATTTAAGCAAAATCTTACACTTTCTACATTATAGTGCAAATTTCTTGTAATGAAAGCAATAGGAGCCAATACTTTATACTGTTTAAAATATTTTTCATCTATGCATACTGTAAATGTGGGTGTTTTAAGCTGAGGTGTGGGTGACAGAGGTCCATTTACATCTCCATTTGGCACTGGGGATTGTAGAGATGTATCTGATGCACTGTCTGCCCTGATTGTCAACTTCTGAAGTCCTGGAATAAAACACCTGCCGTATGATTTCTTTACAAGAAGAAAATGAATTGCTCATTTCAAAATGCAACTTTCTAAATATTCTCCATTCCTTTATTAGCAATGAAAAATGACTAATCTTTTATTTGCAACCTGGACAGTTTAAATTTTAGAGATTACATGTATTTTGTTAATGAGGGAAAAAAGCTCTTTACACAAATTGAAATAAATTTAGCTCAAAAAAAAAAAACACCATCATTAAACATTTTTTTTTTCATGATTTGATTCTTCATATTAATCATTGTTATCAACCTCCTACTCATAAGTAACACCTGAGAGGTTGTTAACAACTCGCTGAACCATTTCTTACCTGATTGTGTCCCTGCTGTGTGGTCAGTTTCATGGAGAGGCTTGGGGGGATTAGTTAACACCTTAAGAACCTGAGGTTTTCCAGCTGCTAGGTCTATTGCTGTCTTACCCTCATCTTTCCTAAACAAAGTCAAATCAACAGAATAAAAGGAAAATGCTTATCTTTATTGCCATTGTCTTAAATCCAAAATGACATAGTGAGGCACATGAATTCTACAACTTTACTTCCCAAATCCCCTTATTCTCTAAATTTACAAAGGTGAAAAATTCAGTCAAATTTAATAAAGATTCAATTATCACAAACAATGAAAAAGCCTAAGATTCTTTCACATATGAAGATTTTTTTTTTAAAAAAAGAAAAGTTATTTATAATGTATAAGCACAATTATCCAAGACAGTAAAAAGTTTAAGATTCCTTATCAAATATAAACTTTTAAGAGAAATTCACTAACCCACATGTGACCTTTGCCATGGGGTCAGAGTTATGCATGAGTAACTCTGTAACAGCTTGAGCATCTCCTCTTTTCACAGCATCATGGAGTGGTGTACATCCATTGGCATTCACAGCTCTTACATCAGCACCACGAGCTACAAAAAAGCCAGTAAAAATAGTAAAGCGTATTGCCAATTGATTGAATTTTAATAATCTACTGTATGAAAGTTCACAACTGGAGAACAAATAAGAAAATGTTTAACTTGCAAAAAATAGTGAATCCCTTAATTCTTAGTAGCTGAAGAACTGAACATGACAAAATTGACATTGAAGCAAGTATCTCAAGAAATGTTTATACAAGCCAAATTACACAAATGGAAAATTGTCTTTACAAGGTACACCTTTCATTTATACACTGACAGATAACAAACTCTATCCCTTTTACATACTACAAAGGCACTGTATTACAGCTCTGTTTCCAAATGAAGCTGCCCAGTGGAGTGGGGTGTTTTGACTTTCTTCGCTGTCAATCAGGTTGACATCAATACCAGAGGCAAACAACTGACAAACCCGTCCTAGTCTGTAACAGGAAATATAAGTCACCTCACACTTTACACTCTACATGCAAAGTAATATTCAAATATTAAAGCTTTATTATGAAATACAAGTATCTAGAGTTTGCTTAATCTTAAACTTTAAAACTGAGTTTAATTTTTTATTACTTTTCTAAAATTAGATGCTTACTTTGACTGTGCTGTTGCTTGAAGAAGTTCTTCACTGAAAACCATGCGAACATTTTCATCATCTACCAAGTCATAAGCAGTTTTACCTAAAATATAAGAAACATCATTAAACCTGGTGTAAGTAAGCAATAATTCTGAAGCAAAAGGACCTACCTCCAAAAATTAAATGTGTGAATAGATTTAACCTGCCAATGCTGAATTTTAATCTTTTCTCTTTTAACAAATGCTTTTGAAAAATCCAACATGACATGTTTGAATCTGCAATTACTGGTATATCTTTCACAGTAGCACTGTACATTTTAAAAGGATCAACTGCTTAATTGGTTATATTTTCAAACCACATACCAGCTTCATTATGAATCCCTGGATCTGCATTTGCTGAGAGAAGTGTCCGTATTATATCCACATTTCCAAGCTGTAAAATTTTTTAATCAAACTTTCACGTAAATATAGCATACATCAGTTCATTGGCTAACATATACACTAGTCTATTCACAATTTACTTTAAATATAAATGGAACATTGTTCTCACTAAATCAGTGCTCCAAGTCACACATACTATCAGGTCACTAAATGGCGACCTAAAAATATTTTTGGGTTGCCATTTCAGAATTTCTGGTCATCATCAACAAGTATTTCACTCGATCCCCATGGCGAAAACATTTTGTGGATAACATATTAAAGTATATTATAAAAAACAAGGAACAGATGCTCAAAATATGTATCGTCACGATTATGTCTTTATTAAATCAAAGATTACTTATAACTGTAACTAAACAATTTGCTAGGTTAAAGGAACCACTTATAAAATCAATGTTGTCATTAACTACAATGGTCAACCACCACTATAGTTGTACAAAGGTCACAGAAGGTCACAGAAGAACGATCTGATCCTAGAACTAAGGATAAATAACACAAACAAAAAATTGATGCATGAATTGATATATATTCTTTGACTGCTTTTGATTGAAATGACATAAATAATAAATCCCTAAAATATAAAGAAATTGTAAGTTTTCTTTATGCCCTTCTCTATGTAAATCAGTACAAAATTTTGTACATATTTTTGAACATTAGGCCACTTTAAAATAATGTTTGTTTGCCCTCTCCAAACTCAGGATGAAAAAATTGGGTTGGTAGGTAGGTGAGAAATATTTTTTTCTCCAGAAAATTTCAACCTCAATGCTGAATTTTCAAAATTTATTTTCCAGAATTCATAAGAAAAATAATTGTTTCCTGGAGGTTGGAAAAAGTTTTGAGTTGGCCATTTTTAGCCAGTTGGTCAGGAGAGGGCAACCAAACATTTTTTTAAAGATGGCCTTATTACAAAATCTTACAAAATTTTCACAATTATCCTAACAAATATTATTCAGGTTACATATATGAATATTAATTTATGTTATAATTGCTCATTTCTGAAAAAAAAAAGTTAGCTTGTCGTAATTGTTCTTAAAATTGATCAATGAAATGCAAGCTGGAGTTTGATTGTTATGTGCATAAGGTGGACACCTACATGTATTGAGACGAAGTCTGCCAGCTGTTTGCCATGCTTTCTACATACCTAACCTATCAAATGGTTGTTGTCAATAATTTAATAATAATGCCCAAATTTTTTCAGTCATGAAATTGTGAGTAAGTTTCAATTTCTAGTCACAAAATAATTTTTTGGTCGCAAATGTGACCATTTTCGTTACAAATTCACAATATATAATATGCTTTACAGTGCAACTGTTGGGACAAGCACCGTTGTATTTCTCAGATAAATCATACCTTTGATGATAAATGAAGTAGTGTTCCCTCCTCACAACATACTTCATTTAAAATGTCTCTCAGCAATGTTGGGCTGTATAAATCTTTATCTAAAATATTATTTAAAAACATATTAGTAAGGTTTTTTTATCAATGTCATAAAAAGTATAAGATGAGAAGTCATCTTAAAAAAAATAAAGTTACAGTTAACAGTTATTCATGTAATATATTATCTGACTTGACCCATTAATCATTTAGCATGGATTTATGTCAGCAGAACAAATCCGTTTCTTTATTTCATTTGTAGTTACCATGAATTTTTTTTAACTTCATTTTTTCTGCTTTTTCGATATTACTGATAGAGATATCATATCCGTATCACAATCTTTGACAACTCCTGAGAAAATTCGAACTCTGCCACATGTACATACCTTTCTCGACTGCAGAAATGATGGACCGTAATATGTCTGTTCTCGCATTTGTTACCGCTTCCTTCAATTTTTCTATTATTTCTGATTTAGAAGACATGCTTTTGACTTTGGTATATCATGTATTGCTTTTGCAAACACAAGTGTTTGCCGATGCATACGGCACCGGAAGTTTACATCGTATGTAGAGCATATCGCAACATTTATTCCTACGTAAACCCAACTGGACAGTGCAGTAAGCATCTTTCTTTTGTAAAATCGAAGAGTGGGGTCAAATGTATAGTAATAAATAAAAATGAATTGAAATACCCTACTTTATACTACTTAAAATTTGATTCTAATTGGGATTATCTTATATCAAGGAACGCGGATGTTCAATACGGAAGTGTTGTTAGGTCGGAGGCAGGCAAGGTTGCACAATGATGAACGTATTTCGAAAAAGTATTTCTAGAGGTACCTTATCATTTTCCAGAATCTTGGCAGCTCGGTTTTCTGTTGATACGGGAAGTAAAGAATATATTGACGGACTTGTTAAGAATAAAAAACTAGTTGTATTTATGAAGGGAACTCCAGCAGCCCCACAGTGTGGCTTCAGCAACGCAGTAGTGCAGATATTCAATTTTCATGGTGTTAAGGATTATGATTCATATAACGTCCTCGATGACGCTAATCTTCGACAAGGTTAGTGTCTTTTCTACTGATTGCTGGTAGTAGAATGTTTTGTTACATTTCTCTGTATGGTAGAAGCCAGGTCCAGCACAATCTCTTGATTTAGCTATATACTAATATAGCTTGAAATAGCTATATAGCTTTATTAAGCTATTCAAAATAGCTTGATAAAGCTATTTATATTCAGTTTTTCACAAAAATGTTTTCTGTAAGAAATAGACAAAAAGTTGCAAGTGTTTGACCATTCATATATATATATGTACTATCAAGAAAGCAACCCATATCAAATTCAGTTCTAACTTTGCAGCACTTGAATACTTTTAAGCAAAAGATGATTTTCCATTGTTTGAGTAACTGTACACTACCTTATGTGCGTTGAGGCATGAATAAGTATGATTGCTTCTAATTGTGCTGAAATATTATCAATCAATTATCTTGTTAACCATAACTGACCTCCTTTATAATTTTATTCAAGAAGTAACTGTATGGTCACAAATCAATTGCGTTATATAGCGCCAAAACTTTTAGAACTTTGAGTACAAAGTCTCTCAAGGAGACACAATTTGATGAGTGATTTTTACATGCATTGTTTTCAGAAAAGTTCAAGGTTGAATATTATTGCACCAATATGCGACTTTTTGTACATTTTTAAGCGACTTTTTGTACATTTTTAAGTAAAAAGTGTGACAAAATAGCTAAATCAAGCTATTCTGAATAGCCTAATAAAGCTATATAGCTAAATCAAGCTATATAGCTAAATCAAGAGATTGTGCTGGACCTGGTAGCATCATCTTGCAGGACTTATGCATTCCAAAAAAATTTCACACCAAAAAAAAAAGCAAGAAAAAATGTGTCTCAAGAGGATGTATTTTATCTCACGTATGAGGGATATTTTCCACAAATGAGAAGATCTTGCTACTATAGCATACAATCACTTTATTAAACTTTAGCTTTACGAAGCTATTTTGAAAAGCTTAATAAAGCTATATGTCCAGCTAAATCAAGAGATTGTGCTGGACCTGTTAAGCTATATACATTGTAGCTTGATTTAGCTATTCACTAATTTTGTTTTGTCTAAACTACTGCAACTGAATGAAAATGCTGCATCAGTGCATTTCATTTTCATTAATGAGTATACTAAGACTGATGAAGGATGTTGAAAAGAATAATATTGCTTGCCTTAATGAAGGAGATTAGTACATGCAGTTTGAAGTATAAAGGTGATTATTAAAAGATATTTTTAAGTATATATATATATATATATATATATATATATATATATATATATATATATATATATATGTATATATATATATATATATATATATATATATATATATATATATATATATATATATATATATTTATATATATACTTTTCACTTGTATTTTGTGATATAAGATTCGGACTTTCACTTAGGACCTACTTATTTTGCCTTCTTGCCTTTTTGTCAGTCCAAATAACCAGTTGTCTACAAAGGTTTTTTTTTATTATAACTCTACAGTTGACATTTACACCATTTCTGAATTTATGTTGCTAATTCTCAAAGTGCAAAACTGTCACACAAGGTTTCAGTCCAGAATGACTGAATCAGAGACAATGCTTTGCTTTTTATCCTCTTTTGAACACATCACTTATGATGCCTGATTTTTATATTTATGATAATTACTTTGTTTTTGTATTTTTTTTTAGGAATAAAGGAATACAGTAACTGGCCTACAATTCCCCAGGTCTTCATTGATGGCGAATTTGTAGGAGGCTGTGATCTTATGCTTGAAATGCACAAAAATGGAGAATTAGTTGAAGAACTAGAAAAAGTTGGAATACGATCTGCACTTTTAGACAAAAAAGATGACCCATAATTCTTATCTCTTTTTTTGCCATTTTTTGCTTTGCCACAAATTAAAAATGAAATATAAATATGTTTTAATGTAGATATGATTGGTTTTCAGTTTTTTTTTTTTAGCTCACCTAAGCTGAAGGCTCAAGTGAGCTTTCCTCATCAAAATTTGTTGTTTTCGTCATAAAGTTTTCATCTTCTTCAGAACCACAGGACCAGTTTCAACCAAATTTGCCATAAAGCATCCTTGGTGAAGGGGATTCAAATTTGTTCAAATGAAGGGCCATGTCCTCTATCAAGGGGAGATAATTTTTTTAAAAAAAGTAATACTTGTGTAGGGGTTATTTAAAAATCTTCCAAAGAATCACTAGGCCACACAAGATGAAGCTTCTTGGCATGTGTAAATTCAGGTTTGTTCAAATCATTGAGTCCGGGAATAGGGTGAAACCACATAGGAAATCAAAGTTTTACAAGGGAAATATGGGACAAAATGTTTTAAATCTTCTGAAGAACAGGAGGGACAGGAATATAAATATTAAGATGCATGCAGTTATCCACACGTCATTCAAACACAAGTTTGTTCAATTGAATCATACTTATGTTCAAATCATAGTTACATAGGAATATATGGTAAAAAATGTTTTCTTCCAATGAAGAACAGGAGGACTGTGATAAGTAATATTAACAAGCATTCTTGGAGTATTGCATCAGTAATACTAGTCTCCTATCTGCAATTGTAATCTGGTTACCATTAAATATTGAAAATGTTGTAATTCCATCAAAAATCATCGAAGCAGAACAAATTGCAAACTTGATCTATAACTCAGTCTTATAGAGGTAGACTCACATACAAAAAATCAGGTCAATATCTGCAAGCGTTTAGGAAAAATGCAGAAAATCCTTAAAAATTAAAAAGGTTTGCAATTCCATCAAAGCAGAATTAAATGCAAACTTAATTTGTAACTCATCAAGATACACTCGCTTAGCAAAAATCAGCTCAATATCTGCAAGCATTTAAAAAAAAAGTGTTTAATACCAAGTGGGACAGAAAGACAGATGGATAGACTAGGAGGAAACCTTTAAGTCCCTTCTGGTTTCTTTGGTAGGGGACTAATAAGATACAGTCATCCTCAGTGTAGATACAAGTTTGTTCAAATCAAAGTATGGGGGTAAGGTACTCCAGCATGCTAGAGGTTCACAGCAAGATACTTTTGACTTGGGCGAGGTATATAAGGAGCGTAGGGACGTTAATTGAGGCTCTTACTTGTAGAGGGAAGGGCAGATTGAAGTTATTCATGGGATGATAAAGTGGAAAAAATGTTTTAAAAATAGCATGACCACTCTAAATTGCATTTATATGGAAACATTCCAAAGTTGTGGATTTAAATGATAGATCCTGGTTTAGAGTAAGGCTAAAATCGGGGAGCTGTTTTCACCTAGTGCATGTTTATTTCTGGAGAACATAAGTAATAAGATATTGAAGCATGCCCAGGTTGTGTTGATTCATGTTAGGTTATTTCATGGCCCTTTGAGTGGGGCCACAATATGAGGAAAGAAGGAAGTTTTACATAAGAATAAAAGGGGAATTTTTAAAATTGTGTTGAAATACAGCAGGGCCAGTGTGACTCAGGTGAGCATCGTGGCCCATGGGCCTCTTGTTAACATTTGTGTGTATATTTGTCCAAAGTGAGAATGAATAAGGCATTTGTTGTGTAAAGAGTTGCAAACATTTTTCATATGATGCCCATTTGAATAGTGGCATTCCACAACTAATTCACAGTGCTTAAACTTACCTAGATGTGAATTATAGTCTTGTATAACTACATGTATTACTTTCAAAATACATGATGATAATAAAAGAGAGTGTAATCGTACTGTATCATAATTCTTAAGTGATGTTGGATGCATGCGGTGGTTTTGGTATTTGTATTACATGTACTACCGATATTAGGCCTATAGAATCCATATTTTTTCATGTCGTTCAAGAGGGAGTCATTTGTCGGGTGGCGGGGGGTGGTGGCAAATTTTCTCGAGTCAGATTATTTATTTTCATGCCCTTGCAGAGCAGATTTATTTTCAAGATTACTAGAGGCAGACCCTTTATTCTCGTCCCAAGGAAAAGTTGACAAGCAAAAAAAAAAAATAATAAGAATAATAAATAAATAAAAATATATAAAATTAAAAAAAAAAATAAATACAAAAAAGCGCATGGGGATGGATCTGCTTACTCAGAAACTTATCAAGAGGTACCTATCAAAGTCAGGTTATTTATTTTCTAATTCCACAAGAGGAAAGATTATGTTATTTATAACGTGGTAAAAGTTACCATTAGGATCAGTGGGCTTAAATATTACAATTTGACAAGGTATTTCAATGTCATCTTTTCTTACGTGCGTAACTTTGTAAATTCTATTTCAATGTAACATTTTCTTATGTGCTTAACTTTGTAAAGTCTGTCCAGCTGTGGTCAGCGGACCAAATTGTGGAAAATTTCGTACACATGATTTTTGCAGATTACACACCATATACGCTTTCTTTGGCGAGAATGAAAAAAAGGCTGGTTGATAAGAAAAATTTGCGATAAAAATGTGTCTTAGCATTAATGAAGCTTGTACAAACTGTTACAAAATTCTATAACATGAGTATCCTATGTCCTTAATGGAATTAATACTGAATGCAGTGTAAAAATGGCTTAAATTCAATCACATGTCTGCGATTTCAAGGAAGTACATAACAAAGTTGAATTTGTATTATTTCGATAGAAACCTGTCACGTGAGTAGGAAGACAAATTTTATGTGATTTTCATATTAATTGCACAAGATTTATTGAGAAATAGGACACTTTCAAAAATTGTATCCGATTTCAAATGAAACTGATACTCAAGGATACACCAAAGGTTTCCAAATGCCAGAATTTAATTTGCATGTAATTCTTTCATTACCAAAGATAACATAATAAAAGTATATATCATTTGAAAGCTTGTTAAATTTACTATTTAATCACCCTAATTTAAACTTTAATTAATAACTTCTGTAAAAATTATTTAAATATTACGTAAATTTTAGTGTATAAATATTTTATTAATCAACTTTTTTGTATTTAACCCTCCAAAGTGGTCATTTTTCCTCAAGGTAGATTAAAGATTGAACTTAAAAACTGTATCTCAGATTTTTAATAAATCTTCTAATTCAAAAGTTACAGCCATTCGCACTTCAATGTAACCAATTTATTAGCCTAATTTAACATTTCCCTCAGTAATTCCAAAACTAGGCTAGATATCAAAAATATGAAATACGGTTTTCTGAACACATATTTGAGAAGAAACCCATCCAATTTTCAGAGAAATTGGTCAATAAATAAGGGAGCTGCCTCACAAACTGTCTGATCTTACTTTACAGTAGAAGGCAAAAACCCAATACACAGCAAAATCTGCCAAAGCTAGGAATATATGACACCTTGGATATTCAGCTTTGGATTCCTGTCACTTAGCCATATTTCCTATGCATACTCACAAGAATGGCACGGGGGGGGGGGGGGCGCTTATCATTTTTCAAGTACTTTTTTGCTTCTCATTTTTTGTCCCCTCTCTCTCCCACTTTGAAGAAAATATTTTCCATCTCTATAAAGACACTTCAAATTTTTTCTTTGAAACACTAGCAAGCACATTACTTATGAGTTGCATCCTTTCCTTTATAGTGACAAATGAAAGAGATCTAGAAGGAAGTTAACTTCATTTAATGACAATTCAAGTTTAATTCTTTAACACTTCAAACTGGTGTCTCTCTCATTCTTACGGTAATAGACTTTCTCTTATTACTTGAATTAAGATAATTTATTTTTTCTACAGTTTTGCCAGCTTTCGGTGCCTTGTGTTCAATCTGTCTCAAGGAAGCAATTCCATTTAAATCCCGAGAGAAAAAAGATTGCTTGTCGTCTGTGCTGTCACTACTAGTGCTATCACTTTCAAAATTCGAAGTACTAATTGGAATGTTTTCACTTTGGTCACTAGATGACTCCAGTCTTGTGTTTCTGCTGGTGTGAAGAAGCAGTGCCATTGTTTCTGTGTCACTAGAATATCCGCTACTGGTCCTGATCTGGTCAGACACGTCTCTAGATCCCTCTGCAACAGAGGGATCATGGGATTCCTTTGACCCATTTTGCTGACGAGATTCAGAGGTGCCTTTTCTTGGTCTCAATTGAAATAAAGACAAATTAGGAAGTTCCCTACTTATATGTGGTACCCTGTAGCTTGCAGGGAGGGTCTGAATCCCTGTCGAGTTATAACAAGATATTGGTAACCGAGCAATCGGTTCCCTGTAGTCCTGAGTTGGTAATGTTTCTAGAGAACAAGTGTTAACTCTGTGTTTGCGAGATTCCAAACGCATATTTGGATTTTGATTTGTAGGTGAGATGCAGAACTCGTCATCACAAGGACAGTTCTTTTGCTGATGAGGATTTAGGGCCAGTTCCAAGCAGGTGATTTTGTCATATGCTTCTTGTAGCTCTCTCTCAGTTTGTTGAAGTTTTCTTTTAAGTGATCTTATTATCTGAAACAAAATTAAAGAAGGTGGGCGAACAAGCTGAGAAAAAAGACTATGGTTCGACAAATAAGAAAGTGAAAAAATTTAATCCCAATAATGATACAATTTTCTTTCATACTTTAATTAAAAAATTGATGTATACTTTACGTAAAATTGCCACAATTTTCAACAATCTCACAAATGTTAAAACTTTTTTTTTTTTTTTTTGCTTTACACAAACATGGAGCAAGGATCCACTTTATACCTTGAAAATACACTTTTATGACACAAATTTCGTATCTTTCCAAGGAATATTTGAAGCCCAAGACAAGGGTCATATCACAAACAACATTTAAATGCCAAAATATATTATTGAGGGAGTTAGCAAGATCCCAGTTCCCTGAGGCGAAGTCGAGGGAAATAGTCCTAATAATAAACTCTATAATAAACTTAAATCTGTTTTATTATATCGATACACGTTTCGAAGCAGGGATTAGGTCACTTGATTTGACTAACGAACGGTAAAACGGCGATTAGTCTTTTCACAGCGATTTCTAGGGAATCATTCACATCTACCAATCTAATTTTATGTATGAGAAAAATCAGTAAAGGTATGATAATAACCGTTATGAGTTATGTGATGTAATGGTCAAAATAAAGCGTGTCAGTCTCAAAGGATAAAAACTGGTACTCGGGATTTTTATATCGCTTGGTTCAAATCCAAGAGATCCCATTCTTTTTTCCTTTAATTAATTTTTGCCGGGAGAATTTTTCCGCAGAAAAGTTTTGTTTGTCATAATTTCATACCTTTCAAAAATTAGAACTTTCTAAATAGTTACTAATTAGTTCCCAAAATGAATATGAAAATTTTGGTATTTGAAGCTATAGGCATTTTACACGCCTTGTTCGCCAATATTATCATCTTGATCTCGACTTTATGGTATATCAATACAAGTGGCGCAACATTTCCAGATGCTTACATAATATAATACAAGTGCATGTGGACTTACCTTATCACGATCCTTTTCAGCTTGTAGCTTCGAAATCTATGAGTAGAAATATCAATGTTTAAAGGTGCTTGGACACAGATTTGAAGTTAATATTTTCTCAATATTTCTGTAAAATTTCATGACTTATATGTTGCTATAGCATTTCATACTAAAATATCATAAAAATCTTATTTCATCTCGAAGTTATTGAAACTTTGAATTTCTGGACGCGTTTGATTGACACATCCTTGCACTTTCACAAATTTTAAGTTTATTCTTAATACTTAAGAAAAGTGGGAATTTTGTTGTGTATTAATGAAAAATATCAAAACTATAATCCAGAAAATTCAGAGTAGAAATGTTCGAAAGCAAAACCCACTCACAGTATGTCAGTCCGTGCTCAGTGGTGTGTGCAGACTTTAACAATTGAACACACCCGGTGAATCGTAAACATTAACAATAACAGAGCTCGTGCCCTGTTCACAAAAACAGTTTACGTTTCACGGGTGTATTCAATTTGTTAAACTCTGTACACAACACTGAGCACGGGCTGACGGGGTTTGCTTTCGAACATTTCTACTCTGAATTTTCTGGATTATAGATCGATGTAATGTTTTTCATTAATACACAACAAAATCGCTTCTTTTCTTAAATATTAAGGATAAAGATAAAATTTGTGAAAGTGCAAGGATGTGTTAATCAAACGCGCCCAGGAATTCGTAGTTCCAATAATTTCTAGATAAAATAAGTTTTTAATTATATTTTCGTGTGAAATGCTATTGCAATATATAAGTCGTGATATTATACAGAAAATTTGAGAAAATATTAACTTCAAATCTGTGTCTAAGCACCTTTAAAACATACAAAAGAAATTGATAAATAAAATTTGAGAATATATTTTCAGTTTGGTTAAAAAAAAGCTTCGTTACCTTATCTCCAAGGTTTTTCAAATCTGCAACTACTTTCCGCAAATCGTCCATTTCAGGAACTGGAAAAATAAGGAGACATATTCATTTTTTCTCTTCTTCAAATATTGTGTTAAGTGTATAAATACAAAGTGGTACAAATGATCTAATTCTTTCCTTAATTGGGGCATCAGAATAAAAATAAATTAACTTTAGCATCTGTACCTTGTTTTGTTGCCAAACTTTTGAACTCTGGGGTTTTGACAACATCATAGAAGTCCCTCCTTTTTCTGCTTTTATCCTTTCTGATGGGCCGCTTTGATTCTTCTTCAATGCAGTCCTTGATTTTCGTTACTGTTTTAGTTTTCAGCATTCTGCCATGAAAATGAATTAACTTGATTTAATATAGTTAAGGTCAAACATGTACTTATAAGATTTTTTTATATAAGCGATGCTGTATAAAAAAAATTACCTTTCTCGAGCACTTTTCTCCAGAATTCTTTTCGCATCAGGATACTCTGCTAATGCCTAAAGCATAGGAATGAAAGAATCTTATCCACTGACTCGGATATAGAGAAATGCTAAAACAAACTATTCTTGTTGTCTTTCATTAATTAAGGAACAGAGAGACGCATATCGATCAAAAATGTGTTTGGAATTTTCTTATAATTCGACTTACTGCAGTAAGGTCTTTCCTAGATAAGCACAACAATTCGGAATATCCTACCGAACGCACGTCCGCCGTTCTCCTGAAAGTAACGAACCTGATAGAGCCATGTGCAGAAAGGGAACCACAGTGTTTCATTTTATCTCTTGATTAAATACATGATAAACAAAAGCATGTTAAACGAGGCGTGAATATTTCAGGTCATTTTACTTTACTACGCAATTTAAGCAAGATTAGGTCAGAGGATGCTTATTTTCTGAGAGAATTTAATTTTTTTTTTTTTTTTTTTTTTTTTTTTGCAAATATCACAAGCATAAGAGTGATTGGTTTAGTCTGTATTGATAACTCTCTGACCTATTGTGACCCTCATCTAGCTTCAGCAGGCTGATCTCCCCGAAATAATTTCCAGTTACTAATTTGGACACGACGATTTTCTTTCCATCTTCAGGCCCGGGCACTAAAATCTATCGTGAGAAAATTTGAATATTAGTATATTTATGCTGTGTGTGTTTATCTTGTTGAAATCTTTAACAGAGAAAATGTTACATGTACGTACTTCTACTTGTCCGTGGTTTATGATAAACATTTCTTTTCCTAGAAAATCGAGAAAAAAACCAGTAGTCTCTGGAAACAATACTGGTTATTCCTTTTTATTTTTGTTATACTATTTATATACGTATATATTTGTATTAATAAAATAATTTATAACGCGAGCTAGAATTGTTGATACATGTAAAATAAAAATTGTATTTTGATGATTATGAAATTGATAATTATTACAATGTTGTATTTTTCTTGCAGTTTTCTTTGTGTGTTGCCTGCCTATTATGTTCCTAACAGGCCTAAAGTAGTACACTAAAATATGACCTGTTTCCCATTACAGCTTTGATACCTATTTCGCCTTTGCGACAGATGTAGTCCCTGGGGGAGAAAGTCTGCGGCTTCAGCTTCAGGACAAGTTCACGTAACAATCCCTCCTCACACTCTTCAAACAACTTCACCTGCTCAGGTGTGATATCTTTTTTTATTATCAAGATTTTATTAAAAGCATAAATATTATAGCGGAACGATGACTGATCAAACAATTTTCAGAGAAATTTAAAAGTACATGTATTTAATCTTTTTTTGTTGTTGTTAAAATACTGTAATTTAGTATACTTTGCACACACATTTTGATTTTTTTTAATTTTTTTTTATTCATAAAGAATATACATAAAACTGCATTAATCAATGTTACAATAACTGTTTAAATATGAGAAGTAAAAATAAACAAGAAAAAAAATTTAAATAATAAATTACTCTAGAAGATTTAAAGAAGAAAACACCTTTTTCAGTGTTTTGAGATGGACTTGTATGGCTATTTCTGTCCTCAGTCTCTCGGGTAGAAGCTGCAGCAGGTGTGGTTCATCTATGGCTTGTGTACTGTGGACATGAACGCATTATTAAAGAGATTGATTTGTTAATCACATTATCAAAAATCTACTTAGTTCAGCTGACTTTCACGAAGGCAGTACTGACTTACCGAGTCCAGGAATATTCTGCCCATCGCTTCACACGGTTTTGCAGAGATTCGGGAACGTGTCGATGGTTCATGTAGAATTTTATCTGATCCATCCTAAGTAAAGTGTCTACGATAATTATTTTCGAATAATATACAGCTGTGCGAATTTAATAAACTATAGTACATTTAGGTTAATTGGAGAACCTAAAAAATTGTACAGGGCCCGCAGTATGCTATATTTTTTTTCCCTTAAAATTATGTATTGAATATATGAAGTCTGTAGCTGGGAAGGTAAGCAAGTTTATTGCGTCACATAAAATTGTTAGCGGTACAGAGACAGACGGATTACGGTGGGGCACCGGCATCTTGATGCGGAACCCTAACTTAAACTGCTTCAGATATTACTTCTTCTATAACTACATGTATTTACAGAATCATATACTAATTATATTAAGTTTGTAATTGTAAATCATTTACACTTTTTAAGAGCACATTCGATTTACCTTGCCTGGTAGTCCTGTCTTGATGCATTCATGTTGCTGATGACGTCACCAACGTTGCCAACTACAGCAGCAAATACAAAAACTCCAATCACGAAGGTCATCCCCGTAAATACGTACTCCTGGTGAGATTTAATACTTATTTTAAAAATCACAAAAGGGAGATAAACTGCTGAAAAATTTGATATTGATAGGCATTGCCTTCAAAATTTACAAAAAGTGAGAAAAAAGATTGATCCTGCAAATGATGAATATATGTAAAACAGCGTCTTTTAAAGAGACTGAATAAAAAAAGAATCAAGGAATGATCCCGGATTCCTTGGATTTGTTCGTTAAATCTTTTCAGGATTTAGTGGAGAATGTTTAGCGTCAGTTTCTATTTAAAAAATCACCCCGAGGGGAGAAGGGGAAAAACCTAGAATTGTTATAAAATGTAGATTCTTTTTTATTGAATTACACGCAAACTTGTATCACCTTTTAAATACTTTAATTAAATACACTAAAGCATCTATAGATAGATGTCAAAATTCTATAGAAAAATTAATTTCCAATATCTTCCTCGGAAAATTGGTGCATCGTTGATTTCAAGAAAATGAACATGTATTGAAGTTACTACAACTAAATCATCTTACCAGATCAGTGCAAGGGGAGGGGCGTTCTCCTATAGTGGTTAAGATTAACATCGACCAGTACAGGCACCGGATATATTTCCTTAAGAAAATGAGAAAATGTATAAATAAAACTAGTCTAAATTATATATATAGATTTTATTTTATTTTTGGCACAGTGAGAGAAATTTTTGTCACCTGATGAAGGAATCGAATTCCTCTCCACTAGGGTAGACCCATTCATTGCTTCCTCTACCTTCAAACTGAAAATACAATAAGCACATTTAAAACAATTTAAAATTCTCAACAGTGTTTGGTGCATTTTCTGTACCAGAATCAGCTTACCTCTGATAACATGTAGTAAACACAGCCAATCCAATGTATGACCAGCCAGAGATACAGCGAGAGTTTTATTGCTCGTATTCGATTTGGGGTACTTGTTCGACTGCAAAAATATATATTAAAAAAAATCAATTAAAAATAGAAAAATGATGTTGATGATGAACAGTGATCAAAACACAGGCACTTGTTTCGGTAATAAATTTTTAAACCATAGTATAATAATAACACAAGGTATCCAACTCCGAATTACACGGAGTACTCCCCTCCCCCAGAATCGCACTCATTTACACTTTCAGAGGAAATACACTGACAAACTGTTTATACCTATGTTTTGTACGATAATTTATCTATACAACCATATATGGCATGCTTGTCTTTATTTTCTTTAGTCTCCGTAAACAGCGTCAAAACTCTGCTCGTCGAGTGGAAAAGTCGAATTCAACCATGAAATGGTATGTGCTAATCCCGCAGAGATTTTGATTGGCTAAAAATCTGTTACTAAAATTACATCGGATAAACATCGTAATGTTTTCAGGGAAAATCAGACGTAAACAAGTTCTATTTACTCGTGCAATATTTAAACACTGGATTTGAATTTTTAAACCCACTCATTTTTTAATTTTGTTCTCTGTGCGGGATTAGCACATACCATTTCATGGTTGAATTCGATTTTTCCACTCGACGAGCAGAGTTTTGACGCTGTTTACGGAGACTAAAGAAAATAAAGATAAGCATGCCATATATGGTTGTATAGATAAATTATCGTAGAAAACATAGGTATAAACAGTTTGTCAGTGTATTTCCCCTGAAAGTGTAAATGAGTGCGATTCTGGGGGAGGGGGGCACTCCGTGTAATTCGGAGTTGGATACCTTGTGTTATTATTATACTATGGGTTAAAAAATTATTACCGAAACAAGTGCCTGTGGATCAAAAGCATAAATTCATTTAAAAAATACGAATTGTGAAAAGGGAAAAATACGGACCCCTGGGGATCCCAGAGGTTGCGTCAGGTGACTAGGAGGAGTAAGCATTCTCTGTCGACCGTTCACACCCGCCGTGAACCCTGTGTATTTTTCAGGTAGACGGAATGCTCCGTAATCAAAATGGCATAAAACAATGGCTTAACAAGTGGTATGAAATATGTCAGTCAAAATACAACCCAACGAGTTGTATTTATAAACAAGGTTATAATAAGGACCATAGAATTTTCGAAATGCTGACTTTAAAAGAAATACAAAGTGGTTGAAAACCCTGTAACATCAACTTATTTATCAGTAGCCTGTCTCGTTTAAAATATTGATCCTACTCAAAACATGCCCTTGAGTATCGGATCAGTTTGGAGACATAAACATCTTACAGATTACTACATATATAGGGAGAATTGACGATGGAAAAGCTTAAATCACCCCGTTTGTCATAAAGTTTAGTTGTTAGTTGGTCATTAACGTCTATAGTAATTTCAATATCCAAGTATGAAGCAGATGTAGCAGACTCTGTTGTATCTTTTATTTCGAGTTCATTGGGATATATCAAGTTCACATATGCATGAATGAAAAGAAATTGTTAATTGATAAAATGTTGTCGAGATATCGAAATGTTGAATTTAAAGCCACAGCAAGAGTCTCCTTATTCTCATATAGAATTTTTCGAAAATAAATTCTGCTTCATATGAATATAAAAACAGGTCGGCTAATAAATAGCACAGCTAATGCCTATCAGAATTATAACAGGTTGTTGGAAGACCTGATCTCCAAACACTGCATAAGATATTGTCAATGAGGAAGTCCAGAATCTTTTTAGTATGAACTTCAGAGTAAATGTATGTTGAATCAAAATGATTTTTAACAAAGTTATTTTGTAGATGACCAATCACAAGATGTGAAAATTTATGCATTCCATTTTTATTGAAGAAGTTGTGTATGATGTTAAAAAGCTTGCTGTTTAATTTATCGTAAGGAATTTTGTGGTAGGAGTTGAAAAGTATACATTTTTAGTGATAGGTTTTTGAAACGTTTTGGTATTTCAAACTTTTCTTAAGTTCTTGGAGTTTTTCAGAATCAACAATTGATTTACACTGATTCTTGAATATGTTGTAGTACAGTACGTCTGACGTTTCTCCTTCACAGAAGATAATATTTTGGTCAAGAGTAAGGATAGGGGCTTCTTTGAAAATTTACTTCGCGGTGCAATATACTTTTGTAAGGATTCTTATGACGTTTTAGAATCCAATATAGATACGATAAATCAAATTTATTTCCATCGACTGGAATGTTAATAATTAAGAATATAAAACTGAAACGTGATTTCTGAAGAATTTCATCCTTTGAAAGGATATGGTGAGTATAAGTTGGATTACCAAGAGTGGAATTAAAACCAAATTCCTCTAAAATGCGGTTGTAATAATGAGCCTTACGAAACAGACTATATTGTTAAAATGTGATCAGCTCGAACCATAACATATTTTTCATGCAGTCTTCTTAATTGTATTTTTTTTATCACGTCCGATCTACTGAAAATGGTAGGATAGATTCATAGTTCTTATTTTTGCCCTTGAATTGTCTATAATGCGATTATTTGATATATACATGTATTTCTAGCACTGTTTATCCATTCTGACAGACTGTCGAGATCTTCCCCTTCATATTTAGCCCACCATCAACATACTTTCCAAGGAATTCATAATAGAGAAATTTGAGCCATTTGAAGGATCTGGCTCCCTGATTGTGTGACCGTATAAACTGATTGTTTTTAGGTTTTCATTTTGAACTATATTTACATGACTAGTTATGATGTGTCCGGCTGGACTATAGTTGAAATACGATGAAGAACACAAACACTTATGAGGATTTTGTTTTAAAATCTGAATTATTTACTCTATAGATAGAGTTTGTTCGTAATTCAAAAGTTTGGAAGCAACAGTATGTGAATATCTGTAGAAAATGCATGATGTAGACTTTAATCTAAAATTGGAATACAAAACTAATCTTGATTTTTATTCCTTAAATTTTGCTTATGTTTACAGCATTTACAAATGAATCTTACCTATCAGTTACTTCGAAAAATTTGACAACAATGTATGTTTTGATGAGTCGAGGTAAACGTAACAAAGGAATATATAAAGTGCCTGAAAAAAGAGTTGACACAAATAACATTACATACTAATTATTGTACGGTAACATATATATTCGATGAAAACATATCAACATTATAACAATATTTTTATTATAATTACTGGTATTTAATAATCTAAACGTTTATCATAAAATTACTCACTGACGTAAATGAACTCAACATGGATAAAAACATAACCAAGAAGACCTGAAATATGTAAAAATACAACACTGTTAATTAGAAGATGAGAAATTGGAGAGCTCAATCAGAATGATTTACACTTATTAAAATTTTACCTAATAAGAAGCTTGTCGTGTATTGTAGTGGAAGTATGGATATTACATCTGCTACAAATCTGCTTTGACTTCTGTAATTTATAGCGAGCTTCTTAGGATCCACTTCCTATCATTAGACAAATACATAAAGAGTTGAACGAAATTAAATTTTAAAGACCATGGCTGCAGCCCTGAATGCAAAGATAACAAAATATTTTTATTCATGCCTTTGAGTGAGATCGACCTTTCATATCCACTAACTAATATGTATTGTTGGATCTTCAAATATCATGATACTTATTTTATTACTTGTATATTTTTAGGATGACATATAATTGTATTTCTTCACCAGATGTATACTAACCAGGCACCCGTCGTCGTAATAGGCCACTCTGAACTGTATGATGATGTCGAAGAGGTAGATGACGTCACAGATGGTGTCAAAGAGAAGAAACATGGACGCCCACTGCGATTAAAAGCAGGTACTTTCGATATTTTCTTTATTCTTACTAATTATTGGTTATATTTTAATCACGTAAGGGGGAAAATGTTTGCTGCAAAATTAATTTTTATCCATCCACTTTATAATATAGTCGAACTAAAAAGATACATAAATTTACATGTACCTGCGAGTAATAGGTTAAGGGTATGTGTAAATTTTTTAAAAAGGTGACTGATAATAGCATGTTGATCTTATTATTTATTTCTAAAATATAATGATTTTTGAAACTAAACTGGATATAAGTTTAGAACTGAGTGTTTTCAGTGAATGAATACGTGGTAAAAACCTTTATACCATTGTTATTAACTTGAATTAAACAAAACTCCAACAATCAACCTACCTGAATCCTAAACAATCATGTCATTAAATGCAGAGCAATCTACAAATCACTTTATTTAAGCTCATTCAATACTATGTGCTATAGTAAAATTTACAATTGTTAAAGTGCACCTGCAATTTGATAAATATTTGTTTACATAAACGACCGTATTTAAATTTGATTTATTAGCATGCAATTGCAGAACCAGTTGAATTTGAATGCATCAAAGTAGTGTGACATTATACATCAAGAGACTTTTTGAGATTTTAAGAAAAGATTAAGAATTAATAGGAGGAATGAGGCAGACTTACATGAGCTGCCATGTCTGAGAAGGTGAGCCGTAAGATGATAATTGCTAGATTGTACAGCACAGCCAAGGTTACTAAAGCCTACAATAGAAACCAAACAATGGCCTTCTAACGTATTGCTGTCTGGAAGAGGCGGGTTATTAAGAAAGACACAGAATGATGGATATCATGCTCTTTGTTATTAGCACAGCATGTTGTTTTAAAATTTTAAGCCTAAATCTGAAGATTTAAAATATTTCTCTCTTTGTATTTATAGCAGAAAACAACTGTCTATTTCGTGTCCTTTACTTACATGTATATAAGTCTGAAGTTATTTTTAAAAAGCAACTTACCATCCAGTAATAAGCAACAGCACTATCCGGGTCTAGTACAATATCCCATAGCGAAACGCGGTCCTACGAGTAACAAATATTCCAGAAATATTCATAAAAGATAAGCTTTTTTATTTTATAAAATGGAAGATTAATATTTCCAGGCACATTATCTTAAATTCCATTTAAAGCTGAAGGACTTGTTCATTAGAAAATAATCTTTCGGAACATTTTCAAGACAGATCATCAAGTACTTGATATATATAAAGATGCATGTATTTTATAGTTATTTTCTTTTTAAAAATGAGTGATGTAAAAAAAAATATATCAATAAAATGTCGCGTCAATGGAAAAAAAAGATAATTTGAAATTAAAATAAACAATTCTTAGAATATAAAATTAATTAAAAGAACTAAAACTGAAAATTACTGTTTTCGCTTGCTCTGCTTCTGCTCTTTCTTGTTCATTGTCACTTGCAATTGCACCACTGTAATTCTCATTGACATCCGGTACCGCCATAATTCCATTTCCGTTCAAAAATGTAGAATCTGCCCTGCAAAAAGTCAGTAATAGACTATGATGTAACGACATGTCCTGATCTGCCGTTATCAGAAGATTAATATCGCAATTCCAATACTTAAGGTAGCCTACGCTTATATTGAAGAGCACATCGTACCTTGCAAAGCGATGGAAGAATGATATCAACATCACAGAGAAATATTTCGAAAGAAAGAAGCAAACAATTTTATATATATGGTATCTTGTATCATCCCAACAAGGACACATCAGATACATTGACACTTTAGAAAGACTGATGTTCAATGGATTGGTCCTCAACATTGAGACTCAGTTCTCAGTTTCAAGGATACACAGCTGTCATATTGATTTAATTACCGACAAATTGACAATGATGATAACCGTCGAGGGTCGTCTTAGAGCCCGGTTAACTACGTTTTCACCATTTCCAAATTGGAATTTATCACTTTCTTTTAACAGTTGATGCCCCTAAGAGAGTGTTTTTCGCATAAATACAATTCTCATCTCGGGAGTACATAATTTACATGTATATAATGCGTGAAATCGTAATGAGCAGTTATTATATAAGGCGGCAAAACACCATCAGAACATCGTAATTCTTGTCACAGTGCCGTTTCCCTGACTACCAAACAAAAAAGCTATTATACACCCTCTTATACTAATTTTTTGCATCTATCTTTATGAATTGAGAAATTGTTGGCTTTCGTAAAAAAAAAAATCTTATTTAACCCATTTTCTTTCAAAATCTTGGGTATTTAAAGCTTTGTGACAATTGCTTTCAATATGGAGTACATTACTTCCGTAAACTTTAACCTGTATTTGTAAATTCCTTTAATCAAAAGAAAATGGGAGGAGCAGATCGGTCTTCAATTAAAGCAAACAAAAATCTAGATTAAGCATGTCTTGTTAAAATTGTCCATATTATGCACGTTTTGATAAGAGAATATTTAAAAATTCATAAAAGATTCAAAGGAAAAGTAATTTTGTTTTTAATAAACGCGCCCTTTGAAATAATAATTCATGAGTGAAGCCGCTTTTCGAACACAAAAGCCAAGAAAAGGCGCATTTTAATGCTACAAAAAGAATGAAAAGATGGCAATGACATAGAAAAAATATTATTATTAGTTTAAAACTGCTATTAAAAACGAATACTTGTCTTTAAAAAAAAAAGTTATAACCAAATTATTACCCAGAATGTCTATGAAACTCCTCTATCGGATCGTCTTCCTCCTTAAACATAAAAATATTGCTTTGTAATATTACACATCAGCATTAAACATGTACAATTCTAATGAGTTATCCAACAGTAGTATGAAAAAAGTCTGTTTCATATCAGGTGACCCTATTATCATTAATTTTCACCATACCATACCATACCTGTACAGGGACAGAAACATGATATTTGCCTGAATTCCTCCGAAAACATAAACGAGGTACCGGCGAATTCATTTCAATAATATTTAATTATCCATTCATGAAGGCGAAATTCTCTGTTGTAAAAGATATTGCAGAAAATATCCCTGTTCGTTATGTCAACGAACAAATAATGAAGCACATGTACAGTTTCACCTTTTTATATGCCATTTTTCAAGAAAGAGAGACAATATTTTGATGCACCATTATAACTTTAAGCCGAGAAAACAGCGGTATTGATAAATAGTACAGTTATTGTAGTTGTTTATTGTAATCTTCCCCTCGCCTGAACTCCGCACAGAAACCTGTAACAGGTGTCCTTCATGAAAGAGGCTAATATTTACCGAGACACCGCATGACTGTACGATCAGCGCCACATTTTGAAGTAGTAAGTAAATTTTCCATTTTAAAAGGTCCCATTCCTTGGACATTAGAATGCTTATATTTGTTTTTAAATGTTAGTTTGCTTAAAAAGTTCACTACTATCATTTACACTGTTTTGTATTGGAAAACTCATGTAAAACAAATCACAAATGAACCATCATTTCCATAGCTGTTATACATATAATCAGACTCAAGCATTAAGAAATCAATACTGGGCTAATTTTGTATCTATTTGCCTTTTTATATTTCAGATCACATTGAACCCTCTGGACTACTCAAGAATGGCTACTGCTCGTCTCTGATGGCACATTGTCTTAATTTGATACTGAAAGCGAAACAGCCGATTTTCTGGCTATCTCCATGAAATCATTTAAAAACCATAGAAAACTTTCATATTCTTTCTAGAAACAAATATGATTATCTTTCCTCTGGAAGACTGGATTAAGTTTATAAACGTTGCATACAGTGTTGATTTTAAAAACAGGGACCATAAAATCAATGTACACTAAGAAGTGTTTATTTAGAAAGAAACAATAGTGCAAATTCAACAAAATTGTGTTTCACAAACATATTCTTTTTTACCAAATCTTCATTCAGATTAGATTTGTTTTGCAATTCCTTAAGCTTTACATCTTATGTATTTTTAACAAAATATTACATTCTCCAAATTAAAGAGTATGATGGGGAAACAACAATCTTTGTCCAGATCGATATACTTTTACCATACTCGTCAGAAAACTTCTGAATTAATTATGAAAAGGGTCTGATTGATTTATATTATTCACAGGTGTATGTGATATATCACACAACTGTATTATTCACGAGAATTAACTCTAGCGGCTTTCTTACATGATATGATTAGTGAACATTTATTGTTCAAGGAGCATAACTCCACGTGTGACTCTCAACTGTGCCTCAGAGTTCTTTAGCGGAAAAAAAAACGATGAACTACCTGTAATAGATACTTTATCATTTATACGACTATAACTAAATATATCATTCATATTTATGTATTTCTCTCTCAAGAGTAAAAAAAAATATTTTTCTTTGTACCAAGATTAACTTCACATTTTCTGAATACTTTCCCACTGTCCATCCGTCTATTATACAATTTTGTCTTGGTTTATCTCCCGAACAATGTTGTTCAGTGATTTTAAATGATGTTGCCTTTGTCCTTAAAATGTACCAAAATAATTACGAATTCAAACTTTAATTTGACCTTCAATAACTCTAGGTAATATCTAGGTCAGGGTCACTGGGCAATGGCATAGACGAATTGTGCCCCGGCCACAACTATGGAAACTTATAAAATTGAATGACTTCAAACTTAAGTATCTTGTTGCTGATAACAGTAGTGATATTATAGGACCTTAACTGATCCAAGGCCCTATCTCAAAGCTCAAGGTATAGTTAGTCAGTGCCGGAACAACAAACTTGATTGGAATGAATTCAACTTAAGAATTTCGCTGAACATGACATACAACTGCAAGTGTATAAATCTATTTTAAAGGCACATATCAAGGGTCAAATAATTAAGTCATTTTGCAATGAGACTGTGATATAAAGTCAGACCCATTAGTCACGAATCATTGATTGGAGTGAAGTAAACATAGCCTGTTACTGCTCACAAATAGTTACCTAGCTAAAATCTTTCATTCAGATATTCAAACTTAAATACGCTCACTGTTGTTGCTCATGACATTTGAGATCCAAGGTCATGTCAACAATGACACGAAGTCATGTTGCAGCTGGGAAAGAGGGATACATCTATTGTTTATTTGTAATTTTGTTACACTGTGGTTAAAATCCCCGCTCTTCAACTTCGAAATAATACAGTCATACCCGGCCTTCCTTCACCATGCTGACAAACATAATGATTAGCTGTGCGTATTTTACACTCTTAAAGGAGTCAGTAGGTTACAAACAAACAATCGTAATAAAATTGTAACAAGTTAAAATATTATACCTGTATTTTGCAATTATCAATGCTATATTTCACAGGTGATATACAAACATGAAATGATAATTACGTATTAATTTTATATGCAAACATCGTTGAATTATTGGATTCACTAAAATAAAATCAGGTTTACGAGATTCTTCTATGTAAAAACTGAAGATAACAGTGATCAGTCTCATAAAACCAGGGCAAAAACACAGACCCCTGGAAACAAAAGTAAGCACCTCCTATCGACAGGTCACACCAACTGTGAGCCTTCTATATTGAATGATCAGGTAAACAAAGTAATCGGTAGTCAAAAATGGTATAAAACTATTGATGGGAAACATGTAAATCTTATACGGTACCAATTTTGATGCACCAGATGTCTCTTTAGTGATGCTCATGCCGAAACGTTGAAAATCCGAAATATTTAAATAAATAAAAAAAGACTTGAAAGAGCAAAAAAGGGGTTGCCAAAGACTGGAGTCATATACGTCGAAAGATCAGAGCTATGCATGATGGAGATGATCCTTAATTTTGAAATAAATTTCTAAATTTTACCACAGCAATTGAATATATATCCGTTTTTTCAAGCTAATTTCAATCAAAATACGACCCAGTCGTAAGTTGTAATTGCAAACAATGTCATTATAAAGAACATATAATTTGCGAAATGCTGACTTTAAACGAGATGGCCAAAACCCTGTAGCATCAACTTATTTATCAGTAGGCTGCACTGCCTCCGTTTAAAAATTGATCGAACTTAAAACATGCTCTTGAGCATCAAATCAGTTGGGATACATAAACTCCAATACAGATGATTATATAATATTGCTACATAAATAAGGAAAGTTGACCATTGAAAAGCTTAAGTCATCCCTTTTGTCATACAGTTTGTTTAGTTGTTATTTTACCATTAACGTGTATAGTCAGTAAAATAGCGAAGTATGAAGCAGATTTAACAGACTCAGTAGTGTCCTTTATTCGAGTTCACTGTATTGATATAAAAATTTGACTTTATTCTGAAATACAAATGAATTTTAAAGAAAATTCTTGAAAAGTAATGTTAATTCAGATAATGCACTTTCCTTAAAGTAACAGAAATCACGAGATATTAATGGTACTAGATTATCGTCTCAATATTATACTTACTATTCCACCACCTGTCCTTACAAAATCGTAGAATCCTCGTCTAAAATCATAAAGAGATAAAAAAAAACTTAAGCCAAATTTATGTTATCTATTAAAAATATTATTATACAACTTATCATTCTTGTAGTTATATATAGCTTTTCAAAAATTAAATTTGCATGCATAGAAAGCAATAAAGTTTTGCACAAACATGTATGTATGCCATTTTATACAGAGAAAACGAAGAGGTTCATGCTTTAGATCGCCAGCTGAGTCAATGATTAAATTAAATAACCCTCTTATTATAGCCATCAACATGTTATCTCTGATTTCAAATATCAAAATCTACAGAATACTAAGGCTTGGGAACGAGTAAACAAATTGAAATCTTATTGTTCTAGTATTAGTTTATATATTTCTATGAAATACTTTGAACACCTGTTGTGACCCCAAACTAGCTCTGGGGTTGATGAATAAATTTCATATTATAACAGTACTACTTTATAATGCTTGTATATTAATATAATTACATGTATATGCATTTATAGCTTTGCTGTTCTTGAGTAAAGGGCTTTTAAAGTTGTTTTTTTTTTTTTAATTTATTCCTATCAGTAAACGTTCATTTCCCACTGTAACTGCTTCTTTATCCCATAGACCATGTTTTATTGACAATGTAAGAATGGTTGCATATAAAGTTGTAAGCCCTTCTTCATCAGAATTGTACAGATTTCTTTCTATATTTCCATGTAAAACTTTGAGCCCCTATTGTGGCAACACACATTTCGTCAATTATGTAACAAATTTTAATCTAACTACATTGAAATACTATTGACATTCAGTAGATTTTGAAATTGTGACCCTGAAATTAAGATGTAAATATTGTTGTTCAGTTTAAATATATATATATATAGAGAGAGAGAGAGAGCGAGAGCTTGGAATATTATTGCCGACTTACCATAACCTTACGGGTCATGATTTAAACAAAATGGAATGCACAGAACACGAAGATGCTTGCATATGACTTACTGTGATTCTGCTGTTCCGCAAAAGATTTTAATTAAAAGGTTTTCTTAATTCCTAATGTAAAAAAAAATCCTTTGTTAAATTTTGATTCTAATTTTTGACTCAGCCCTAACCTTGGTGGGCAATATTCAAACAAACTTTAATCTTCAAGCTAATTTTCAACATATTTTTACTTTTTCCTTAATGATCTACCCTTGAAAAGAGCGTTGTCCTTTGTTTTCAAATTCAAATTGTATTGTACATAGCTTTTGTTGAACTCTCCCCAGTGGTTTAGAAGAAGAATAAGAAAATTTGAAAGATAACAGACTGAGAAAAGACAAACTTCGATCAGAAAACCTTACTTGAGCTTTTGATTTATATGTGACAAAATGTGCAATAAAATTGTAAGATCCTGTTTTATAGAAATATCTTTAAGTTGTTGCTTTATCTAAAGTAATTGATGACATCTATAGTAATAATCTGACAGGTGGAATCTGATGATACCAATTTGAAAAATTTGATAATTGAAAATTTATTAGAAATGAACCGCTATAAGAATATTGAAACAACTCCAGAAAAGCAATTGCTATCGTACAATGTAAAAGAGTGATAATAACAGACAGACAGTTTATTCTTCTCAGAAGTAAAGTCCGGTAAACAGAAAGAATTGCGTTGTTTTACAAAAGATAAGGAATAATTTTTTTAATATAAAAGATAAATTGTAATTAACGACATGTTTGACGTCACCTGACTTAAAACGGAAAGAGGAAGTATTAATGGTATATCAAATAAGAATGTTCATATAAAGATAAACTACTTAACTGAGAAATTATTTGTAGAAAAATTTAGATATTTCATATTTTTTCCTCTTTTTAATATTTCTTTTAAATAATTCTTAAAATAATTCCATATCTATCACATAAAAATGATCAAAATATACATTTTAAAACCAACAGAAACAAGGTTTTATTTAACTTGCCCCAGTGGTTCTGGAGAAAAAGAACTTAGTAAAGTTAGCAGACAGGTGTCAGAGCAAGGACGAGCTTCGATCCGACAATCTTACATGAAACCTTGGTTCAGATCAGCTGAAATGTGCAAAAGAGGGAAAGGGCCTGTTTGACAAAAATGATTTAAGTTGTTGCTTTGGTTGAGGTTAATTGGTTAATTCTTTAATGAAAACCTTCGAGTGGAATTAGATGAAAAAATACAAATCTGACAAATTCAATAAATTACTGTTTAAAAAAGAAGTGTTGACTGAAAGTTAGAAAGGTACAATGTAAAAGTACAATTTAAGGGTGATAACTGCGTGGTTTATTTACCTCGTCGGTACAATGGGGTTTGGAAAAAAATCACGTTCTCCACAAGATAAGGTTGGAGTTGGGTTTGAAGAAGAAAAAAACTCACGTTCCTCACAAGATGAAGGTGGAGTTAGTTCAATTTTTTAAACATGAAAGATTACTTGAATTTACGAAATGAATGATATCATCTGACGCTTATGGAGAGAAGTACAATAGTATGTCTGAAATGTTGAAGTGAATTATTTTACGAGCTTCACGCTATTTTGAAAGTTTTTTTCTTCTTTAATCCAGAGATTTTAAAATAATTACATAAATAAGGTCGGAATGTATATTTCCAAAGTACCAAAACACAGAGTGGAAAAACTGGTTGCATACTAGTATTAATTAATTTCCGAATACTTACCTTTTTATATGATTTTCCTTCCTTTCAAAGAACTGTTGCATGCCAATGATTTTCAACATAACTACAAACTTCAGTATTACGTATCCGAATCTTTGGTGTTATGTAACTGTTAATCACCAAAATTAATCAATTTTATCAGAGAAGCATTTAAAATCTGTGAAATATCAAACGACATTAAATTTAATTCAGCGATTTCTATCTTGATAAATAGGTTTTTCTTCGACACTTCCTTTGTAGGATTTTTGAGTAAAGTATTTGAAGAAAAATTCTTTTGTAGGTTCAATTTGATATGCAATTCACTGCATACTGGGTGTTTAAAAAGTAAGAGGTCGTTTTAGGCCATGCTGCTTTTATATTAAGTCGTCTCCGATTCAGTTAAAGTATGAAAAGAAATCTCTGGCTAGTCTATTAGCATAATTTTCCTATTTCATGGACTATATACGTCTACTTGTCATATAAAAGATACGAGTATTTAATAGAAAAATATAAGATAGATAAAAAGACCAATCAAAAAACTCATCGCAAGTAGATATAAATCAAGGCAAAATTTCTTTTATAAAAAGGATAAAACATATGATAGAAAGAGACTGGAACCATTTCCATTTCTGGATCTCTGATTTTTGTTTTGTAGGCTAAGATTTGAGTCATTCGTACTGCATAGGCTTACATGTGTATTAAACTTTTTTTGTCTCTTCTCCCAAAGTGAATATTAAAAAAATAAGTAGTTTGTCAATTTAGATGTATCAAAAATTACAATTGTTAGATACTGTGTAATCAGATTATCATATTCTGTTGTCATTTAATTATCCGACTTCCAAATAAGCTCATTTTGTTTGAATCCAAGATACGAACTTGAAGTCAACGGTATTTAATAAATTCTAGAGTACGAATATTTCATGTCTAAGCCTCGTCATACGCTTTTGTCGAGTAAGATGATCATGATAAGGAAACATCATAAAAGTATAATAAGATGAATTAAGTTCTGAGCACAAAATTGGATGGGTAGTAAACGAATTCCGGTGATTTCCAAGTATTTTCATGGAAATGAATTTATAAATTGCAGCTAAAACATTCTCCTCATTGATTTTGCGCTAATGATACCTTGATTATAGATACACCGATTAATCTTAATCATAACCCAGGTCAGGAATGATGTCAAGCTTGATACAATTCCCTTCCACACAGGGACATAATACTTATTCGAATATATATATATATATATATATATATATATATATATATATATATATATATATATATATATATATATATATATATATATATATATATATATATATATATATATATATATCACAGAATGCTGTTAGAACATTCATCATAGACTGAGCACATCACATACTGCTTATATACAGCGTAATATTTATATAACTAATTTTTAGTAAGCATTTCATATTCTCATAAGCAGGAATATAGCTTTTTCTCCAGCATCAAACAGTTATGACGTCACAATTTTCTGAACAATCTTACCTCTGTACAATCAGAAAAGACATCACAATACCTTTGGTTGTGTAGAAGCAACATTTCGAAATATTTCAGTCTAATTTGAAAAAAATAAGCGTTCTATAGCTTTCAATTTATGACGTTTTTCATGCAAATTGTTAGGCCATTGTTTACACATTGAATTGTCTACGGATTTTTGATCGGTCACGGTAGCCTAGTGGTAGGGCGTTCGCTTCGTGTTCGGGAGGCCAGGGTTCGATTCTCGTTCGCCGCGCCGCGTCAAACCTAAGACGTAGACATAGGAAGTGACTGTTCCTTTGTCAAGCGCCCGGTATCAGAAGTGAACGTCACGGGTCTTTCGCATGAGACTTTAAAAACTGAGGTCTCTTGTCACGGTAGAAGTTGGCACGATAAAGAACCCTCACTGCACTGGCCCTGAATGCCGAGTAAATGTCTAAATTTGACGCCCTTCATCAGTATATGGCGACGTCTCTACATGAGTGAAAAATTCTCGAATGGGACGTTAAACAACATGTTATCAACCAATCTACGGATTTTTCCATTTGTCCGATCATGGCAAGGAGCACATGGCGTGTGTGACCGGTCGACAGGGGATGCTTACTCCTCCATGGCACCTGATCCCACCTCTGATGTTTTTAGAGGCTCGTGTTTGTTATGCTCTAAATTTGTATTGTTTTTATGGACTTCTGAACTTGATTATTGTTCGTTATCTTCTTATTTCATAAATTTAAAGTTAACATTTCACACTTCTATATGATTGAATAATTTCTAACACCCTGTCTGAATTTCCAAAGTTCCCAATTGATACAGTTAGTTAAGAAAGTTATGTTCACTTGTACCCGACCTTCCAGCTGAACTTACCAATTTTTCTCTACGTTGGTCCAAAAATAAATCGAGAACTGTTAAATCAATGCAACTGGTTATGAAAAGTTATTAGTCCCCTACCGGTGAAACCGGAGGGGACTATAGGTTTCCTCTGAGTCTGTCCGTCCGTCTGTCCGTCCGTCTGTCTGTCTGTCTGTCTGTCCGTCTGTCTGTCTGTCTGTCTGTCCCTCTGTCTGTCTGTCAGTCTGTCCCACTTGGTTTTCCGCACTTTTCTCCTAAACGCTTGCAGATATTGAGCTGATTTTTAGTATGTGAGTGTATCTTGATGAGTTACAGATCAAGTTTGCATTTCGTTCCGCTTCACTGATTTTTGACGGAATTACGGCCTTTTCAATTTTTAGGGGTTTTCCGCAATTTTCTTCTAAACGCTTTCAGATATTGAGCTGATTTTTGGTATGTGGCTTTACCTTGATTAGTTATAGATCAAGTTTGCATTTCGTCCCGCTTCATTAATTTTTGACGGAATTATGGCATTTTCAATTCTTAACAGGAACCAGATTACACTTGCCGGTAGGGGACTAGTATTGCTAATGCAATACTCTCAGAATGCTTGTTTCACCTGTACCTGCACTTCCAAGTGAACGTAACATTTGTACTTTTCTACATTGCATTAAAAATATATCAAGAAATTCCAAATTAATACAACTGCTTATTTTTATCCCGTTTTTTCCACTGTGTAAGGCTAGATTTTGATGGCATGATTTGTTAAAGTTTATATCATTATATAATTAAATCACATAATAAAACATTTTTTGTCAGGGGAGTACAATATTCACCAAGCCCTTAATTAGTACTTCGAGGATGACTAAATCATTGTATTGTCCTCAAAAGCAGCATTATTTGTACAATGCAAGTATAAATAACGCTTTTCATTTTTGAAAATTTCATGAAGAATATTAACTTGAAAATCCAGTATGTAGTTTAAACTAATAAACAACTGTTCCAATTCAATATGACAGGGTGACTGACAGTCATTGCTAAAACCTCGACATACCTTTGATCTGCCATGAAAATTTGACACAGTTCCCTAATAAGGATTTAAGAAATTTCTCCAAATAGAGTACACTTTTGCTTATTTACATACATGTATTCTTACTATATTTTGTACTTTTCCCATTAAAATCAAAACTGTAAAATAAATTATTTGTAAAATAATTTTTAAAGTAATGAATAAGATGAAAGCGTCAGAGAAATAGTGCAATACATGTATTTCAAAAACATCAGTGTTGTAAATAGATGTTTTTCTTTTTTTTTATTCCTTCATTTTAGTGCTGAATGAGATGTGAGTTTTTGTGAATTGAAAATAAAAGTTAAAATCAAAGAAGAGTCATTTCTTAAGAAACAATATGAAATTAATTTATTTTGCGGATTGGGTTTATTTTCATTTTTTTTCAGATTCCGATCTGAATTCTTTAGAAGTGATTTAGTACTATAAATTTCGGATCATTAGTTTATATTTTGTATGAAGTATATGGTTATCATTAAAACAATTTTATTACATTTTTTTCCTTTTTCTATTACAGGGTTTGTCCAGTCTACGGTGTCTAATAATGATAATAATAAAAATAAAATTAAGGATTTCTCTCTCTCTCTCTCTCTCTCTCTTCTTTTCTTTTTTCTTTTTTTTTTTTTTTTTAGATCTTATGATTATGCTTTTAAATGTTCTAAAAAGTTAGTGAACAAAATGTATATGTCATTGCGGTGAAAATTAAAATTGCAGACTACATAAAAGTGGAGACCTTAATGCATCACTTTTTCTTAACCTTGATAACTCAGTTTAAATACATTAATGCTTTTATAGCTAAACAAACTGCTTGACAAGCCTTATTTTCAGTGACAACATACCTCCATTAAAGCATCACCTCTCAAGGTCGTACGTGTATGTAACAGGTCGACTAAATGCAATGATTCAAGAACACACGTATCGGGACAGCGCATGACATCATAGAATCTACGGAAAAGGTTAAATATAGCTTGTTATAATGTTAAAAAAAGTATCCGGAAGACTCCGATAACAAGCCAAAACAAGACGTAATAACCACATTTAGTTGTTACATATGGTGGAGTAAGAAAAAAGTGTTATGATTCATGTGTCTCAACCGATTTACTTCTTATTGTTTAACAAAATTACGTCTTATTTCAATTCAAATTTTGTTCCTGGGTTTTTGGTGGAGGGTATTTCGAAAGAAAAAATCCATAGAGAGTTGTCCAAAAGTTGTTTTTGTAGTGATTATTAATGAGAAATAACGAATTATTCAATTTTTCAACTTTTTTGAAATTTTAAATTGCGTGTCCAAAATGTAGTTTAATTAATGTATATCAAACATTGCTATCAAACATGCAAGATATTTCCT